CTTGACCTGCATCTGCTGTGTACGACCTTGGCAAGTCTCTTCCCTCACTCAGTCAGGGAGTCCTTGCTAACAAAGTAAAACCACTAACTCCTTAGCTGCCAACCTAAAGCTCTTGACCAGATCCTGAAAAGAAGCAAACCCAGAAAGGCTGTCTGGGAACCATGCAGACACTAACCCTTCAAAGAATAAATTTAGAAGTCCCCTTGCTCATACATTGCCTATGGACTCTTGGTCTACATACAATGCTAACAGATTTGAGGGCTCTGTCTTCAAAGCACAGAACTGTCAGGTTTAAAACTCTAGAGCTGAAAGGAACACTCAAGGATCATCTGATTCAATCCACCCTCTTTCTTGCAAAAGCAACTAGCAGATTAAAAACTGTTCAGGTTTCAAAACTGGACAGACCTGGAGCTCAGCCTGGACTCTTGCCATTTCCTAGCTGTGTTTTATTAGTAAATTAATAAACCTTTCTGAGCCTCTTACCGCAACAAATTCTGTTGGTTCTACTTTCAGAACATATCGGAGTCTCCCTTCTCCCCACTCTACTGCAAGACTTGTTCCAACCACAGTGGCTCCCCCACTGAGCTTCCTGCCTTACCTCCTGTCTGTTTTTAGTTTCTCCCCCACAAAAGAGCCCTGTAGACACACGTGTGGAAGGAGATCACATGCCTCCTGGGCTCAGAACTCCCTGACGGCACCTCCTGCGTGGAGGAAAAAGCCAGTCTGGGACTTCCCTGGTGGTCCAGTGGTTAAGAATCTGCCTTCCAATGCAAGGGACATGTGTTCAAGCGTTGGTCGGGGAACTAAGATCACACATGCTGGAGAGCAACTAAGCCTGTGAGCCACAAGCCACAGCTAAGATCTGACACAGATAAAAATAAGTATTTAAAAGAAAAAAAGTTCTCACAGCACCTCAGGGACCTGCACAATCTGCCTCTTATTCCCCCTGTGACCTTCCCTCTTTATTCTCTTTATTCTACAGGAGGCTCTTTGTTGTTTATCTGAAATGTTAGGCGCGCTCCCACGTTAGGATCTTTGCGCTGGCTGTTCCTGCAACTCAGAATTCTTTCCTCAGATGTCCTTATGGCTGATTCCTTCACTGCTGCTCACATGTCATCTTAAGAGTGAGGCTCTCCCTGGGACTTCCCTGGTGGTCCAGTGGCCAAGACTCTGCACGTCCAGTGTAGGGGGCCCAGGTTTGATCCCTGGTTGGGGAACTAGATCCTGCATGCCACAACTAAGGATCCCACATGCTACAACTAGGACCCAGCACCACCAAATAAATAAATAAAATAAAATAATGACTCATGCCAAGAACTGAGCAGTGCTGGAGTGCTGTAGGCCCTCAATAAAAATTTCCCCTGAAGTCCCGAGGATGTCAGTGGCCACACACAGGCTAGAATCCAGGTCCCTAGCCTCCTGTGTCCAGGCTTTCTCTCACTTCACTATGAGCCTCTTGCATTCAGGTGTGTGGATAGCAGAAGAGGTGCCAGGCAAGGGGCTGACACGGAGGAAGGAGGAACACACGCTGTGGGGCATCTGCACAGGGACATCTACATAGCAGTGACAGGCGTTGGAGGGAGGGTGGCTCTGTCCCAGAGGAAAAATCCAGTCTGAGAGCAAATGTTCTGCTTAGGAAGGCAAAGTCACAGCGTGAGTGTTAGGCAGAGACCTTACCAAAGGGTCTGAGCACAACATGTAGGAGTCTGGGAGAACCTCAGCTCCTTTCTGGTTATGCATGATGACCACTGGCTCTGGGACTCCTGAGGCAGCATGTCCCACTACTACTTAGCTCCCCAGTTGGGCAATTCTGCCTTATCCTGAGCACAAATTGGCCATTTTGAACATTGACTCCTAGCGTCTACTCTGCACCGAGAGAGCTTTCAGTGAGGTCAGTCTGGGCTAAGTAATGCCGTCCTTCCTTGGGAGGTGGAAGAGCCTGGTGGTCAGGAACGTGGGTAAGAGAGTCAGAAGGTTCGGGTTCATATGGCAGCTGTCACTCAAAGAAAAACAAAGTGAAGTTGCTCACTCGTGTCCGAGTCTTGGTGACCCCATGGACTCTAACCTACCAGGCTCCTTGGTCCATGGGATTTTCCAGGCACAAGTACTGGAGTGGGTTGCCATTTCCTTCTCCATAATGTCTATGAAGTACTGTTTTTTCATCTGCAAGATGGAGACTACATGGTACCTACCTCATACAATTGGTTGTTGGAAAGATCGAATGAAAAGATCAAGCGAGCCATCTAGCATTGATACTTAGCAATATAAGTTCACAGTCATGTCTTGGAGGTTAGGTGCAACTATCATCTCATAAAGGCAAAGTGTGTGTGGGTAGAGTAATCCCCAAAAATTCCTTAAACTGCCCACCAAGTCTGAAAATATCATGATACTCACAGGCTGCATTGAAGGCTCACTGGCCCCCTTGATGCAACATATTGCTGTGTTCTTGACTAAATATCAGTTGTGGCCAGCCTGTGCCTAGGGGCTGGGTTTGTAGAAAGTAACTTTAAAAAATTTTTATTTATTTTTGGCTGTGCTGGGTCTTCCTTGCTACAAGGCCACTCTCTAGTTGCAGGGCGAAGGTTTTTTGCAGTGGCTTCTCTTGTTGGGGAGCATGGGCTTGTCGGGCCTCAGAGGTTTTGGCTCCCAGATGTTAGAGCACAGGCTCAGTAGTTGTGGCACCAGGGCTTAGTTGCTCCGTGGCATGTGGAATCTTCTGAGATCAGGGATCAAACCCCTCTATCCTGCATTGGCAGGTGGATTTTTTATCACTGAGCCACCAGGGATGCCCCCAAAAAGTACACTGTTGAACGCTCCCAGCCACACTGAAGGGATGGGGTCTCCTGTCCCCACCTTCCCTCACAAGAGGGCTCTTGCTCACCCACGGGACTGGCAAATAGAAGTTCCCATGATGCTTTCCATTTGGGTTGCGAGAATCTACTTAAGTGGAGAAGGCTCGCTGTGCCAAGGCCTCATTTCAGTCTTTGTGCTGCCTGAGTTCTCTTAATGTCAGGGACCAGAATAAAACCCCAACTTGGGACCAAGGCAGGCCGTTTTCCTTCCTGAGCTGAGTAGAGGTCTCCTTTTGATAGGGGTCTGGGCAAGGGTCAAAGGTCTCACTGCCCTCAGGTCCCCTCAGTTCATGCCGTCTGAGAAACAAGCTTCTGTAGTGGTACCACCCCCATGCCCACCAGAAGAGATGGTGAGGAGTCAGGCCCTGGCCACATGGCTTGGGGGGCGGGGGCACCAAGATAAGGATGTTTATCCAACATAACCAGCTCTCAGGTGCCGGGTCAGAGAGCCAAGCCAGCCCATCTCCTACAGACAGCACTGGACACCGGGTCTTCCACACACTCTTTTATTTGTTGCTTTTACTGCTCCCCCAATTTCCCTGCAGCCTCTGATGGCACACAGGGATCAGCCTCTTAGACGAAGGCCCCCAGCAGACAGGAAGACACAAGGTCCCCGCTTCCCAAGGTCCAAAAAACAGCTGGGGGGCGGAGTCCTGGGAAAGAAGGAGTCCGAAGTTCAAGATGGCTAGGACTGAGGGAGGCAGGGGAGTGCTCAAGGGACAGAAAGACTCAGAAGTCCAAGGTGGCAGCTGGGGTGAGGGGAGGCCCTGGGGAAAGGCCAGATGCTGCTTCAAGGCAGTGTCATCTGGGAAGAGGGCTGTAGGTTGAAAACTGTCATTTCTATTCCCAACCTGGGTATTCCCCTCCCCCACAACCTCACCCAGGCCAGCATCTCAGGCAGGGGCTTTGTCTACACATGTGCCCTGGCAGTGCAGTGACCCTGGCCTGGGCGAACCTGATCTTGTCCCTGCAGCCTGTGGTGGCAGAAACAGCATCCTGCTCTGGCTTGCTGGGTGGCCCCACTTCCAGTCTCCTCACAGCAGCACCCCTCCTTTACCACTGAGCCAACCCCCGCACTCAGCTCCCTCTGCTGAGATCCTCAGGGCAGCAGCTGTGTCCCTGGTGGGACCTGACCGAGGAGATGTCACTGAAAGGCATCTCAGGTCTAAAGCATGACTCCTAATCTTCCCCCACAGCCCCAGTCTGTCTCACCTTCACCAACAACCCCACCTTGGCCCACAGTTTGGGCCACAAAGCTGGTGCCAACCTGGCCTCCTTTCCCCCCCTACTCCGATGTCCATGTATGCCATCATAATATCCTTCCACTCACCCCCTGCTTCTGTCCCAGACTCCTCTCACGGCCTCTACCCTGACCTGGCCCATCTCGTGTCCTGTCCCCCTGTGGCTTCTCTCGGCATCTCCAGTCTATTCTCCACACAGCTGAGTGACCTCTTAAACACCTCAGATCCTGTCATTCTCCCTCAGAAGACTGTCTAATGGCTTCCCAATGCCCTGAGAATAAAACCCCAAGCCCTATCTGGGGTCGGTGGGCCCTGGGTGATCCGCCCCCTACCCGACCCTGACCCCACTGCCTCTGCACATTTGGTCAGGGCCACACTGGCCAGCTTTCCGACCCTTCTGAGTTAACATCAGCCACTTCCCACCTCTGCACCTCTGTCCTCACAGTTCCTTCTGCCTGGTACCCACTCCCCACAGCGCCTCCCACAGCCGGTTTCCTTCTTAAAGTCGAGCTTCCCACAGTGAACAACTGACGGCCCCGAGGTCCCTCACAGGCGCATCCCATTGCTAACTCACACCTCTCGCCCAGTTCAGACATGCTTTTCCTCATCTACCCCTGCGCGCATACGCACGTCGACAGTGCCCCAGCACTGGGACCTAAAATCCCACAAGAACAGGGACCTTAAATGTTTTGGTGCCCACTCACGCCCAGTGCCTTCAACAGTGCCTGGCGCATAGTAGGTATTCGGTAAGTACGCAGAACAAAGAAGGCTCTGTCTGGGGACCCTCCCCCCAGGGGAAAGATCCAGAAGTCTCTGAGGACACAGTGTCCCAGTTGGAAGGGCACCCAAGTCCAGGGCGGCCACCCTAAGGGGACTCGACTGCTGTGGCCGAAGGTCCCGCCGAGGGTCAGAGGGACATGCTGGTGAGGTTGTCCTGGCTCAACAGCCCCTTCCGGCCCGCACCGGCCCCGTGCCCACTGCCCCCAGCGCCCCCGCCGCCGCCGCAGTACTCGTGCAGCCGGTGCCGCAGTGTGACGAGCGCTGACCCCAGGCAGGCGCCGTTGGGTGCATGGGGCCCGCCAGGCAGTTGGAGCAGAAGTGTGGCCACGCCGGCCATGCCATCCTCGGTGGGCTCAAGGGTGATAGGCCCGGCTCGCAGGCCGGCAGTGGTGGTGGGGATGGCCGGTGGGCAGCAGCCCCCTCCTACAGGTCCCCAGGGCCCGCCAGCCCCCGTCAGCAGCAAGGGTGCCAAGAAGGGCTCGGAGCGGCGGAAGGTGGGTGGCGGGAGCCCAGCCGGCTTCCATGCGGGGGCTAGGGCAGCAGGGTCTGGCGGGAAGCAGACGGTGACCTTGGCAAAGGGGCGGCTGGCCATCTTGGTCATCTCCTGCAGGTGCCGGCGCTGTTCCTGCCGGTGGTCCAGGGCCTGCTTGGCCTTCCAGAGGAGCACACAGAGCGAGAGGAAGAGGAAGAAGCAGGAGAAGAAGACGGAGAAGAAGACAAACAGGTCAATGTGGGCCTGGTCCTGCCGGAAGAAGAGCAAGCCCTGCGAGTCAGCTGAGCCGTTGGCACTGGGCCCACTTGGGTCTCCCACACCCAGCAGGAGCAGGTAGAAGCGGCTCGACTTGAGGGTGTGGTGCTCGTGCGGGTAGGTGATGACCAGCCGATCCCTCACGCCACGGACCACCAACACCGCCGATGGCTCTGTCACTGTCACGTAGGTGATCAGGCCCCGTGGCCAGACCTCCCGCACTCGTGGCTCTGCTGGGGTAACCGGCCCACCTCCAGCCCCAGGTCCCCCCAGGTCCCCAGGTCCCCGGGGCCCGCCATCAGCAGGGGGTGGGGGGGGTGGGGGAGGCGGTGGCGGCTGGATATGCACAGTGTGGACACCAGTGTCGGGAGCCACGCGGACCACGAAGGTGTCATAGGAGGTGGAGACGTAGAGGTCCACGGCACCAAAGGTCACGTCCAGCGTCAGGCGGATGTCCACATTGGTGAACTTGGGCTGCACGCCAAAGAGGACAGTGCGGCCGGGGCCCAGAGCCCGGCGCTTGGGCTCGTGGAAACAGTTGGTCTGGGACGTGGGGTCCAGGCAGTACTCCTGCTCCACGGAGATGAGGCGGTAGCACTGCTGGCCCCCTAGCGGGCTCCCGTGGAATGACTCTCGGCACTTGGCACACTGCGGGCAGGGCAGGGTGGGACAGCTCAGTGTCCAGTCCTCCAAGGAGACGGGCTGCATTTTGCAACTACTGGTAAGTAGCCTCTGCCACTATAGTGGGTCCTCTATTTTGTACCTACTGATTAGTTGCCCCCATGTCCCAGCAGCTTCCCTGTGACCACATCCCCCAAACTTCCCTGACACAGTGTGGACACTAACAGCACCCTACACTCCGGTTCCTGGTGTCACCCCAGCAACCACAGCACCCTGATGGCGAGGCTCTGGAACTCTGAGACACAGCGATGCCGAGCTCTGCTGAATCCTGGCTTGACCACCTCCCTAGCCATGTGGCCTTGGACTAGTGACCTACCTTTGCTGAACTGGAGACTCTTCCTCTGTACCCCGGTAGCAAACACTGCTGAAATCATAGGCCCCGCATGAGTGGGCCTGCCTGGCCTGCTAGCCTTGCTGTTTCTGACTGTAGTAGGTAGGTCCTGCCTTGGGGCCTTTGTACTGGTTGAGCCTCTGCCTGGATCGCTTCCTTGCTCCCCCAAGTCTGAATGTCCAGTGTCCTCACGTCCATCGGGTCTTTACTCAAGTGTCACCTTCTCACTCAAGCCTTTCTTGGCCACTGTATCTACCATTTCCACTCCCCCACACCCCCGAGCCCTCCTCTCTGCTTCATTCTCCTCCTTACTGCTCATCACTAATACCCTGGGTGTCAGACTTATTTTTTCTGTTTATTGTTGGACTTCAGGAGTTCCTCAGAAAGTGAAAGCATTAAGTCACTCAGTCATGTTTGACTATTTACGACCTTAAGCCCACCAGGCTCCTCTGATCATGGAATTCTCCAGGCAAGAATACTCGAGTAAGTTGTCATTTCCTTCTCCTGGGGATCTTCCTGACCCAGAGATCAAACCCAGGTCTCCTGCACTGCAGGCAGATTCTCTACCGCCTGAGCCACCAGGGAAGGACAGAACATTTTGCCTGTTTCGTTCCCTACTGTGTCCCAGCGCTCTGCATAGTGCCTGGCATAACTAGGTGCTCAGTAAATATGTGCGGAATGAATGAGTGGATGGATAACAGCTCAGTTGATTCCTGCAGTCCAGTAGAAATCACTCAGTCTCTGAGGTTGACCAGGGCCAGTCCAAGCTCCAAACCCAAGCAGCTGTTTGACCCAGGACAGGTCTCTGAGCCTCTTCTGCCCACAGCTCACTGAGGCCCCAGCACAGCCTTCCTGAGCCTTCCACGTGTGCGCTGTCTCCACTGTATCTATGGCATAGCTCCACCTCAGCGGCAAGCACTCCCTATACAGCAACTACCATTGCTATCACTGGGTGTTTCCCAGGTGGCTCAGTGGCAAAGAATCCGCCTACCAATGCAGGAGATGCAGATTTGATCCCCAGATCAGGAAGATCCACTAGAGAAGGAAATGGCAACTTACTCTAGTATTCTTGCTGGAGAATCCCATGGACAGAGGAACCTGGTGGGCTACCGTCCATGGGGTGGCAAAGAGTCAGACATGACTGAGCAACTAAACAGCAACAACTGCTATCATCAGAAGTGAAAAAAACTGCTTTATCAGAGCCCCCAAACAGAGGTGCTGGAGGAGAAGGTCTGAACTCATCTCCAAAGCTGTCTGTTCAGACAAAGACCAACAGGCCTTTTGATTAAACATCAAGAAAGCAAAACTGGTCCTGGGTGACACCTGTCCCAGGTCAGACAGTTGGTTGGGTTTGGAGCTTGGACTGACCCTGGTCAATCCCAAGTGTGAGCACCTGGATCTGGCCAATCCTGAAGGCAACTCCAGAACTCAGTTCTGAGAGCCACATTTTCTTTTTTGCTCAAGCTACTATGATATGAGTTTTCCAGCATTTGCCATCTTTAAGTTGTGACTACTTGTAACGGAGTCTGTCTCCTTACCACTCTGAAAGCCCCCCAAGAGGCTCATTTCTGGGTTCCCAGTATCACACTGAGGGCCTGACACTGACTAGGGATCAGTTTATCAAGCTGACCTTAATCCCCAGGACCACAGACACTGGAACCATGTTGTCAGTCCTGCCTGAGCCAGGCTATCTCATCCCATGTTCAGACTTCATCTGGGCACAGGGCCCTTGACTCTTAACTCGCATCTCCAGCCGTACCTGGTATTTGTAGCAGTCTCGGCGGTCACTGGGGGAGCTGCCCTGGCACGTGCCTGTCTCTGTGTTGTTCTGACATGGGCAGCCTGTCCCATCCTGCTCGTTACACGTGTCCGCGTGGCCATTACACTGGCATCTGAAGAGAGGGAAGATGCGGGTTATAGAGCTCCCATGACCTACAGGGGCCAGGCTGGATGCTGTAAACACAAGCTCCAACCTGTGAGGCCAGAAGAGGAAGCTGAGGCTCACAGAGGTCAAGCCATTCACCCTAAGGCCACAGAGCTGTTCACTGGCTGAGTTAGGATTAGAACTCAGGTTGGATAGACTCCAGGGTCAGAAGGAAGAGGATGGAATGGGGAGACTGGCTTGGGGCCTCTCCCTCAAGGTCCTCTCTATTTTTTCTTATTTTTCAATTAAAAACATTTTTTTAAATTTTTGGCTGTGCTGGGTCTTCGTTGTGGCATGTGGGCTCTCAAGTTGCAGTGCACAGGCTTAGTTGCTCCCTAGCATGTGGGATCTTAGTTCTTGGACCAGGGATAGAACTCACGTCCCCTGAATCGAAAGGTGGATTCTTAACCACTGGCCCACCAGAGACATCCCACGGCTGTCTCTCTGCCCAACAGTCTCCACCAGGGCTGCTCAATAGCCTGCATTTCAGCACCGGCCTCTGAGGCGGAAGGTCTCCCACCCGAGTCTATTTATTGCCCCCAACCCTAGCCTCAGGGGATCCCATCATTGCCTGAGGACTGAGGACTGGGGAGAGGAGCCTGGCTCTCAGAGCTGTTCCTACTGGGCAAGGCGGAGGCCCCTGGCCCCTCTCCACTTACTTGGTGCATTTCCCGTCGAGGAGGAAGTAGCCATGGAGGCAGCTCTCACACTTATCCCCGTAGCTGTTATTTTGGCAGTTCACACACACAGCCTCATCTTCACTGGGACCCTCTGTCACCCAGTGTTCAATCTGGCCAAGGGAGGACAGGGTGATCACAAACTGACTCGGACCAGACCCCTCCTCCAGGAGGGGTCCCCAGGCACTCAGGACCCCAGCCTTTCACCTCATCTGGATCCAGCGAGTACTTCTCCGGCTCCCTCCTGGCTATCTCAAGCTCCTTCCTGGAGACGCAGACGTGGCTGTTGCCGCGACAAAAGGCATGGCAGGGCCGGCAGGTCCCTCCCCCCACGGCTGAACCCACGAACAGTGGGAGGCACTGCTCACAGTGGCTGCCCTGGAAACCAAGGACAGATTGGTCAGAGGGAGTGAAGGGTCCTGGTGGGACGGCTCAGATAGTAAAGAACCTGCCCACAATGCAGAAGGCCCAGGTTTGATCCCTGGTCTGGAGAAGAGAGTGGCTATCCACTCCAGTATTCTTGCCTAGAGAATTCCATGGACAGAGGAGCCTGGCAGGCAACAGTCCATAGGGTCGCAAAGAGTCAGACACAACTGAGCGACTAACACTTTTCACTTTGAGAGCACCCTGGGAAGGCAGCAGTGGCTCCGGCATTGGGCTTGGGCCACCCCAGCCCGTCTATGGGGTTCCCTTATAGCTCAGTCGGTAAAGAACCTGCCTGCAATGCAGGAGACTTGGGTTTGATTCCTGGGTTGGGAAGATCCCCTGGAAAAGGAAGTGGCAACCCACTCCAGTATTCTTGCCTGGAGAATCACATGGACAGAGGAGCTTGGCAGGCTACAGTCCCATGGGGTCGCATGTCAGACACAATTTAGCAACTTAACTACTACTAACTACCCCAGCCCCTCTACCATTTAGCCCTCCACATTCACTTGCACACCTCCAATGACAGGGGTCTCAGTCCCCTTCAGTCCAGGGTGTTGAGCTCGGAAAGCCCTTCCCTACCTGATCCCAAATGCTGTTCCACGTGCTCACCCTCCCTGGCCCAGCACTAACTCTGTCACACTACTCCCAAGCACCCCACTGTGACACAGCCCCAAAAGGTGTCCCCACTGTCCTCTCATCCTTCCTGAGATGGGGCTATGCCACCTCCTCCCTGCATCTAGTTCACTGGGGCTTGGGATGAGGCTCAAGATGCCTGACTGCAGGCAGAAGGCCAGCAGGGCCCAGGGGCAGGCCTGGAGATCCCGGACGGCCACCTTGGTGTGGTTGTGGCAGAGCAGGCAGTGGTCACGGGCCCCCACGCCGGCGCAGTCGCTGTGGCGGTTGCAGCGACACTCCGTGGAGCAGTTGCGGCCGACGAAGCCAAAGTGGCAGCGGCAGTGGTCGGGCTCTACACACGAGCCATTCACGCAACCCTGGGCGCACACTGGGCGGCACAGCCCCGTCACACTGTGGGGAGGGGGTGGAGGTCAGGGCAGGGCAGCAGCCGCCCCCTCCCCAGGGCAGACCTGGCTGGTGTCAGGGTCCTCACAGCTTCTCAGAGCCCACCCCCGACCACCCACCCTCTTCTCCACTAGTCCACCCCACCCCCAGGTCTGTTCCATCACTGCCCCGCTCCTGGGTCCAGGCCAGAACCTCCTGAGGGAGCGATGACCCCCCACTCCAGGGCACCCTATCAAACCGATGCACCAACCTGCCCTCCCTGGACTGAGCGCCTACCTCACACCCTCCTCCACACCTTGGACTGTGTTTCCTTGCATCCTACTTGGGTCCACGCCCCATCCTTTACTGCTCCTCACAGGCTCTTCCACCCCACGGTCAGTCTGGCCCACTCCCCTCAACCCCACCAGAGCCCTGGTCCAGCCAGAGTCTCACTTGTCCATGGTATAGCCCGCCTTGCAGCTGCACTCGTAACCGTGGGGCCGGTCGTGGCAGTTCTGGGTCTCATTGCAGTCATGGTGCCCATTGGCACACTCATCCTCCGGGGGGCAGGACAGGAAGGCCCAGGAGGCCCCAGGTTGCCCACACGTCAGCCCTGACATGAGGACACCAGGCTTTGCTGGAGGGCAAGCCTCTGTACCTCCCACCCAGCCCCCCTGGCCCTTGCCCCTACTTTCCCCGAACACTACCTGTGAGGGCCCCCACGTTCATTCCCCGCACCAACCCCCCTATCGGAACCCAGACAGGGGCCAGCCCCCCACACCCCATCCCCAAAGCCGCCAATCTCACCGTCACGGGGGCCACTGAGTCCACCCTCCAGGCAGCGGCCGCCCCCATCCTGGCCCCCCCAGGTACACCAGCCACAGTGGGGGCGCCGCAGGCACAGGGCGCACTGGGTTGCCTGCGCACAGCCCAGGGAGCAGCTCTCGGGTCCGCGGAGCAGCCGCCCGCAGCCTCCGGCCATACACCGCAGGGGCAGGTAGGAGGGGCTCAGACACTGCAGGGAGCGGAAACGGTGGAGGAAGACCATCAGGCACACATGTCCTGGGGGCTCCCTGGGCCGCACCCTCTTCTCAGAGATCTCACCCCTGCTGGCCACAGGCAGGTGGGCCAAAACGGCCATCACCTGGGGCCACTGCATCCTCCCTCCTCAGCCTTTGTAACTGGAGTGCAGACCGGAAGTCAGCTAGGGACAGCCTTGAAACTAGACTGTGTGGACCAGGGCTGGCCGGGCGTTAGGATGAACAAGTGACAGCAAAGGAAGAGAGTGGGGAGGGGCGGGGAAAGAGCAGAGGCAGAAGGCAGCAGAGATGAGACCCACACACGCTGAGGACTAGAGGAGAAGCAGCCTTCTGGCTCCATCCCCGGTGCCTGGCTGCGCTGTCCACCCGCCTTACCCGAGGCGCCACTGTGTTGGTATGGTGAGCCCTCTCTACCACCTGGCTTGGGATACAGCCGTCTCTTACAGTCAGAGAAAGGCAATGGTCCCAGGTAGACACAGAAACAAGATTCAGGAGGGGGGAGGCCAGCCACAGTCTCTTAGAAAGAACATGGAAGGGACTTCCCTGGCGGTCCAGTGGTTAGTACCTTGAACTTCCTTTGCAGGGGTTGGAGGTTCAATCTCTGGTTGGGGAATTGAGATCCCTCATGAGGCACAGAGTGTCTAAAAAAACTTTTAATTAAACTTCTAATTAAAAAAAAAAAAGAACGTGGGCCCTGCCACTGGGCAACAGGATCCCCCTGCCCTTGGCCGGGAGGATTTGGGGCCTGTGGTCAGGGGCTGCACTGCAGCTCATGCACCATCAGTTACTGTGTCCGGGCACTCAGACAGGGTATGCAGTGAGGTCAGGAACTTACCTCACTGTATGAGAACATTTTATTTACAGCTCTGGCCTTAAGTAAAGTACAAGGGGAAAGGGATTAGTCTAGGCTGTCTGTCTGGATGCACTCAGGAAGAAACAAAGCAATTGTGCAATCCTGAAATAGAAAACCCTGATTGCTGTGGCCGGAGCTCTGAACCCACTGCGGGCTACGCCGGTGATGAGCTGAGCCTGGCTGAACAGCTGGAGCCAAATTCTCCTCCAGGTCAGGCTTCCAGATCTAAATTTAGTGCCCTCCTTGGCAAACAGCAGGGCCGTTGGGAAGGGGGCTGAGCAGCCCAAGGCTCCAGTCAGCTGAGCACTCTCTTCCGGGACCACTGTAGTGGCCCAATGCAATGCTGCCCAACACCATTAACTGCGTTTCCCGGAAGAGACGCAGGATCCCAGCTTGTCTGCTGACCTATGCCCGCCGCCTGGCAAAGTGCCCAGCACGAGGAAGGTGCTCGGTGATGAATTTGGTGAAAGGAGAAAGGGAAGGAAGGAAGAAGCCAGTCAGTCAGTGGGGAAGACAGCACCCTGTTGCCTGCCCCAGGCTCTGAGGCCAAAGTCATTAAGAAGAACAAAGTCTGACAATTACAGTATGGCTGCCCTTGAGCCACAGCACAACAGGTCTTGTCTGCAAACCTGTTACATTTGATCTGTTGTGGGGGGATGGGCAGTGGCATTTCCTTATGTTTTTAGTTGTTTTTTTTTGGGGCCAGGAGGCATGTGGGATGTTAGTTCCCTACCAGGGATCAAACTCACAGCCCAGCACTGGAAGGTGAAGTCTCAACCACTGGATCGCCAGGGAAGTCCCCTTGACCTGTGTTTTTAAAAAAAACCCTGAGCCAACACACTTTTGTTTTTAACTGATCCTCCCAGAACTCAGATGTGGCAGCGGTCCTCTGACATTCCCAGGCAGCACCAGCTCCATGCGATCCACTCAGCCGCCCCACCACTCCCTCCCGCCTCCCAGCTCCTCAGCTGCCTTCAGGCTCTCTGGTATTGTCTTCCAGTCCCTGGAATCCCAGTAAAGAACAAATAACACCAATCTCAAAAATACTTAGGGAGACCTTGTATCGCCAGCAGGAACCCAGGCTTGAGGATGACAGAGGCCTCGGTTTGTTAGAGGAGGGACCGCAGGGGGCCTCTGCCCTTGCAGCCACAATGAGCACCCCCAGAGGGAGCACCCTCCACCCTCAGCCGCTGCACTGACCTTCTCCCTGTGGCCCAGACAGCAGAGAATGGAGATTTTCCCAGGGGGTGGGGCGTGGGGGAGGGCATTACTGAGTTTCTACTGAAGAGCAGGCACTGCTCCAGGCTCTAAATAATTCTCCCATCTAATGTGGATGACTCTTGTGCTTGCTTCGGCAGCACAATTCTAATGTGGATGACCCTCCTATGGGATGGAGTGGTATGACACCAGATATATTTGGTCTTTGTCCCGGGTTCCTGGTACCAAGCTACTAAAATGCACAGGGGTTCCTGAGTAATGGGGACGTCTTTTGTCATTCACAAGGAACCTCTTTACACCTGAGTTTATGTTAATGGGGTGACTTAGGGGAGTTACCAGTCACCAGGATTCAGGGCAGAGACTGAGGTCTCTAAAAACACTTGAACAATGAGATTCAGGGACTTCCCTGGTGGTCCAGTGGTTAGGACTCTGTGCTTTCACGGCTGTGGGCACAAGTTCAATCCCTAGTCAGGGAACTAAGACCCCACAAGCCCCGTGGCGTGGCCAAAAATGAAAAAAAAAAAAGGCAAAGAAGGAAGAAAGAGATGTGGGGAGAGAAAGTGGGAAGGAAGAAGTGTGATGGTGGGAGCAGACCTAAGGAGACGGAGGAGGACGTGGGGCAGAGGCGGAGGTGGGGAGAAAGGTGAATGTGGGGGGGAGGGGAGGGCCACCCGCACACCCGCCCGGGTGTGGTACCTGCTGGAGGCTGCTGCTCCAGACACAGTGCTGCCAGCCCCCATCAGCACCCTTGGAGTCCAGGCAGGAGGTGCAGTTGGGCAGGAGGTGGCAGGGTGTGGGGCAGGGCAGCGGGGGTGAGGACTCCACCGGCATCGGGGACACGTTCAGCAGCGAGTGGCTGAAGCACGTCCAGTCGTAGGTGGGCTGCACCGAAAGGATGCGGCGGGTCTCCCCTGAGGTTGGGGGGCGCAGGGATCAAGGAGTGGGTGCGGGTCCCTTGCCCGCCCCTCACCTCCTCCCTCAGACCAGGCCCCCCGGGCTCTCCTCGCGGGGACCAGGCCTCAGCGCTCACCCGTCCTCTTGAACTGCCGCGTCCACATGCACTTGCCCTCCCTGGTGCACTGCTCGCAGTCGGCCGCCCCACACACGGCCTCTGAGCAGTTCCCGGCCCAGAAGACCTCGCGCTGGTTGATGCGACAGTCATTCTCTGAGGTACAGGACCCATTGCGCCCAATGCAGGCACCCTCGGGGCAGTTGGTACACCATTTACAGCGGGGGGCAGAGGCCTGGGGGGGGAGGTACTGGCTCAGAAGGGTTGTCAGGGCCCCCAGCACCCCTCCAGTCTCAGTTCCTGCCACCTGATCCCAGGTGGAGAGCCCCGTGGTGCCTGAAAAGCTTCCCCCCCCACCCCCCGCCCATCACTCACCTCTCCATCTCCAGGCTGTAGGGTCCGGGGGTGGCGGGCCAGGCACTCGCCGCAGGTACGCAGACGCCGACATTCCTCGGGGGAGTGGGGCATAGGGGAGCAGGGGGCGCCGCCACAGCCCAGCCTGGGGAGGCAGGAGGCCTGGCCCATCACACTCAGCCAGGCTCCATCCTCCCCGTACCCGGCGCCCCTCCCTGGTGCCTCCTGGACACTGGTCTAAAGGCCCCACAGGTCCATTCCAACTGGTCTCAGCACAGGCCTCCCAGACCGGCCCCTCCTGAGCTCACGTGGTGATGATCCCACGGCCACCTGTCATCCCAAGCCAGAGACACTGGACAACACCCCATGTGCTCCTGGCCCTCCACCCATGGAGGCCTCTTCCTCCTAAATTCGTCCCTGACCACCCCCTCCTAACCGACACCTGCAGCCCCCCGCCCAGCTCAAGGCTCCTCCTCTCAGGCCTACACCTGCAGCCTCCCCTCCCCATCCCCTCCTCCACGAGCCCACCCCTGCCCTCTCCTGCTCACCCCTTCGGTAACTCCCCATCACCCACGTGGAGGCTCGCAATCCCTGACTCAAAATCCTTGAAGGCATACACGTTTCAGAATTTTCTAGGTTTTAGAAAGGCAGTGGGTGTACCCACTGTTTTGTAACACCCCTAGCAGAGTCTGGGGGAGCACCCTAAAAATCAGAGCCTATAATATTCTGTAGTAAACACGGTGACACATGTAATGGGACAAAATGAAGCCCATTAGTAGCCTCACGTCAGCAGAGGGTCACTGCGGCCAGTACAGTTTGTGCTAAACCCAGCAAAGCACTTTCAGCCTCCTGAGATGCCTGGATTCCCAAACTACAGACGAGGAGTCTCCGGAACTGGACGGAGCCCAGGGCGGTTGAGCCCTGGGAGCCCTCTCTGAGCAGGCCCACCTACCTCTCCAGTCTCAGTCTTCCCCAACTCAGGTGTTTCTAAAAGCCACTAGACACAGCCCTACTTTGAATCTTTGTGGTCTAAATGACCCCAAACTGGTCATTTGGGGCCTAGTTCAGACTCAGCTGCCCCAGCCCACTAACAGGTCCCACTCGGGCGCTCCCCAAACCTGCCCCACCTATGATGAGCTGGCCCTTCTCCCGGGGCAGCTGGTGTCCCAACCAGACAGTACCTTACTGAGGACTCCCCAACAAGCCTGGCCCAGCACAGAACCCCCTTTGGACGGCACCAGTACCACCCACCCAGGTGCTGTCAGTCCCCATGGTTACCTGTGGGCCTGGTCCCCGGACAGGCAGGCCCCATGGCACCAGGTACAGGCCCCAGTCTGGTTACAAGCTTCGGGCGAGGGCAGCAGGCGGCAGGGGTCAGGGGGCAGGGTCAGGGCCAGCAAGCGGCCCAGGGCCACTCCCCCAAAGCCTCCTGAGATATACAGGTGACCCCCTACCGCGGCCACAGCATGGGCCACAGACTCTTCCATTGGCGGTCCCACGGAGGCTGGGCCTGGGGAAAGACAGAAAGTTCAGAGAGAGAGAACAGGTGACTGGAGGCAGAGATTCACACACAGGAGCCAGTCAGAGAGGGATGCTGGGCAGAGAGATGGTCTAAGAAGAGCAGAGACAGACAAGCAAAGGCAGGGAGAAGATAGACAAGGCTAAACAGAACAAGACAATCAGACACACACAGCAAGACGGAAAGAGGGAGAGAGACACATCAACAGGAAAAAGGAACAGAAAGAGTGGAATAAAAACAGGCAAATTTTCTGGAACCAGACCATGGCGGTGGGTGAACAACACTGTGAAGGTACTGAATGTCACTGAATGGTTCATCTTACAGTGGCTAATTTCATTACGTGAATTTCCCCTAAATTTTTATTTTTTAAATGTATTTTTATTGGAGTATAACTGCTTTACAATGTTGTGTTTGCTTCTGCTGTACAACAAAGTGAAGCAGCTACACGTATACATACATGCCCTCTCTTCCACCTCCATCCCACCCATCTAGGTCATCACAAAGCACCTACACTTTTTTAAATCCTAAAAAAAAAAAAAAAAAAAAAACAGTCACAGAGTGGTGGAAAAGATAGATTAAAAGCAAAAGAGAACTACAGACAGAGGGACAGAGAGAGAAACAAAATGAAAAGGAGACAGACCCAGAAACACAGTCAGTCACTTACAATGGTCAAATGAAATACAAAGGCAAAAGATTCAGACCCTTACCAGCCTATGAACTGAAAGGAAACACCCTCACATATGACAGCCATCTCTAAAGAATGGGATTATGGGGGATGCTTTTCTTCCTATTTTACAAATTACCTACCATGACTTCATAATCAGAATTTAAAACATTCCTTTAAAAAAAAAAAAAAAAAAAAGGAAGGAGGGTGCTTCTGTGGGTGTTGAGATAATGTGGAGAGGACCAAAGCTTTGCCTGTTGGTCTGAAGGGGTCCACGTGACTGCCAACAAGTGGGGATCTCAGGCCAGGCCAGAGAGCCCCCTGGTTGTCCCGGGGCCTCCCAGGAGGGCAGCAGACTCACCGATGAGGTCGGGCAGGAGCCAGGTGTTGCAGTTGACCTGGTAAAGCAGCACGTCGCTGCTGAACTCGTCGGGTTCGGAGCGCCCCCCGAGGACCACCATGGTGTCCCCTAGCAAGGCCGAGGCGTGGAAGAGTCGGGGCCGGGGCTGTTGCGGGGACACGCGGCAGGGTGGCCTGTGAGGGCCTACAGTCCTCCGCTCCCTCTCAGCCCACCCGCCACCCCAAATCTCCTCACACCCCAGCCCCTGCCAGCCCACCCAACCCTAACCTTCCTCAAATCTCACTCCTTCCTCCAGGAAATCTCCTTTGTTCCTCAGAGCCACCTCTAAAGCCATCTCCTTTTCGTGAACCCCCAGAACCCTCATGCCCCATGCTGCTCCCCAGGAACCAGCCTGGATGGCTTAAGATGAACCCCTGGTTTCTTGTATGACCTCGCCAGCTGGACTGGGGTTCTGCTGGGGCTCATACTTCCATCTCCCTTGCAGTCTAGCCCCAAGAAGGGCTTGGAAACTTGTTCATGGATGGAAAATGCGGCTGACTCTAGGCACCCAGGTTTCCTGCTCTCACTCACACTGACTCCTTGGCCTTGGAGGCAGAGGCACACCCTCGGCTCCCAGTTTCATAGCTGGGGGCACCAGGAAGGGGAGGGGCCGGTCTGGGCCACACCCAGAAGCGGGAGCACCAGGTCAGAACCCAGGCCTCTGACCTCCTGGTGGTTGATTCTGACCTCCAGGTCAGATAAAAGAAGGGGAGACTTGGGGGAGGGGGGGACTGGAAAGGAGGCGGAGTAGGAATCCGGGATTGAGCCACTCCCTGGGGCACTGGGAAAGGAGGGGCCCCTCCCCCTGCCCCCGCTGACTCATCTGTCTGGCCCTTCTTTCTGACCTTTGCTCCCTGAGAAGGGGCCAGCAGGCTCCAGGTGCGGTCAGGGCAGTGCAGGGAGTAGAGCTCAGGGGACGGGGCTGCCAGCTCCACGTGGAAGCGGAAACCCCCGAACACGTAGAGGGAGTCGGTGGCCTCGTGATACACAGCGGAGTGACCGTAGAGACCTGGGGGTGCGGGGAGAGCGAGCACAGAGGCTGGGGGAAGGGCTGGGGATCAAGAAGGCCCCCCGGGGCTCCCCTCCTCGTGACCACGACACCACCCAACCAGGCCCTGACTCCGGAGACCGGGGAGCCTTTCTCAACCCCTCCCTTTCCCTTAGGTGCTCAAGGACAGCCATTGAGACTCTGGGAAAGGGAAGAGGGAGCCAGGGTGGCCGGAGGGACCTTGGGGACAGATCAAAGAATGCAGAAGGAGAGGGACTTCCCTGCTGGTCCAGTGGCTAGGAATCCACCTTGTAAAGCAGGGGATGAGGGTTTGATCCCTGGTTGGGGAACAAAGATCCCACAGGCCATGGAACTAGAGCCCTCAGCTCCAACTACTGAGCCTGTGCGCCGCTATCAGGGAGTCCGTGCACCACACAGAAAGATCCCACGTGCTACAGCTAAGATCTGGCATAGCCAAAGAAAGAGGAGAGGGAGAGGGAGGAAAATACCTGAGGGGCAGTGTTCTAGGGCCTGGGAGAGGGAAAGTGTCCCACTGCTACTAGGCAGGAGGTGGGCAGCTTCTCATGAAGTCTGAGGGGTAAGTAGAGAAACTGAACTTCTCAAAAGACAGCATCCTGAGAAGGGGGGTGGGTGACGGTACACAGCGAGACGACAGGTGTAGGGGGCGGTGACCACACAGTACAGGAGGCGGTAGAGCGGACAGCTGAGAGTCGAAAGCGCTGTGCCCAGACCCCACGCCGAGCCCTGTCCCCAGGCCCACCTGTGGGGGGCGTCCCGCTCTGAGCCCCGGACACCCAGGTGCCAGTCGCCAGCTGGTACTCAAGCAGCTGCTGGTTGAAGCCATTTTCCGGGGAGTAACCACCCACCAGGAGCAGAGATAGGCCTCGGCGGGCAGTAAGCGTGTGACCAGCAACGGCTGGCAGCTCCACAGTCTGAGGGGCCTGGGGGATGAAGGGTGGAGGTCACCAGGGAGAAGGGCAGAGGTCAGGGGTCATTTTGTGGGTAGAAGCAAGGCTCAGAGCTCCCCATTCTCCCCTTGAACCGCTAAGGGGGAACGGGTCAGACCCCAGGCCTTCCCACAGTCCTGGTCCTGGCGGGCGAGCAGCAGACCTGTCACTATTTCAGCCTGCTTGGTGTCACTTCTTCAGGTGGGAATAGCCCGGGGTTCCTTCGGGAAGCCCCTGCTCCCTGACTTTTATCCTGCCTGCACAGGGCTGAGTGTACCAGCTCGACAAGGGGACTGTGTCCCAGCCTGGCCACCCAGAGGGTCACATCCCCTTGGCTGGGGACTGGCTCAGGAATTAAGTGTGACCCAGGACGGCCAAGGAAATTCAACTTCTGGGACTTGTGCTGGGGCCCCAGGAGGAAGCATCCTCCTCTGGGGGCAAGGATGGCTGGAGCTGCTCTCGCCATCTCTGCTGGAGCCTGGCTGTGGGGACTTGGGGACTGAGATGCTCACCTTCTCCTGCCGCCACTGCAGGGTGGTGAGGTTGAGGACCCAGAAGTCCCGGGCGACGCCCCCAGCTGTGAGCCCCCCCAGTAGGTACATGGCCCCACGGCCAGCAGGCACGTAGGCAGCAGCGTGGAAAGAGCGAGGGGAGGGGCCTGGGCCCCCATCCTCGGCTCCTGCCAACATCTGTGTCCACCGCCGTTCACTCACTGAGTACCTGGGGCCAAGATGCAAAAAGGCAGCCTCACCATGTGGCAGTCAGCCCATAACCCCCTGGGGTGATGTCCCCCCACTGGTACCCCAGCATCCCCTGGGATCACCTCCCACTTGGCAGGTACCCCAATCACTGTACAATCCTCTGGGGTATCACCACCCCGGTAAGCACCCCAGCCCGAGGTAAGCCTCCTGTAACAAGCGTCCCAGCATCCTTTGGGGTATCCTGCACTCGTGGAGATTTTTCTGCACACCTCCCCCCAATGGGACTCTTCTAGACAGGCATCTCAGCATCCCCTGAGGTGACCTTTTGTCATTCAGGTGTCCCACCTCCCCAGGGCCGTCCTCACCTATACAGGTTTCCCAGCAGCCCCTGGGGCAGGCCCAGGCCCCCAAACATCCACAAGGTGGCGTCAGGTCCCTCCACCATCGTGTGCCCCAGGCGGTGCAGGAAGCGGCTGGCAGTGTCCTGGGGGTGGGGTGCGGACAGGAGGGCTCAGGTGAGGTCATTACCAAGTGACAGGCTGGGTACAGGGTCTCTGGGGGTAGTCTGGGGAGTGGAGCGGGGAGAAGGATCCAGGGGGCGGGCTGCACGGCACCTCCCTGGGGAGTGGCGCCCATAACTCACGGCGGAGAGGCGGCTGTCCATGAGGGTCTCCCAGACCAGCTGCCCGCCATCCAGCTTCGTGGCACAGTCAGGACCCCCGAAGCCTTCAGCACAGACGCACAAGCCCAGGCTCTGGGGGGCAGCAGAAGCAGCTGGGCGGGGGTTGCCCTGATTACCACCCCCACCCCTGCCCCGTCCCACCTGGCTGGCTCTCTTCTACCCGTACCTGGTTACAAGTCCCGGCCCCGTTGTGGGCATTACAGTTCTCAGGACACACAGCCATGCGGCAGTGCGGGCCAGCCCAGCCCTGGGGACACCGGCAGAGTCCAGCACCTGGGACCCCATCCTGGGGCACACACTCCTGGGGGACAGGGCAGCTCCCGGGGCCCCCTGACCCACAGCGGGCAGAACCCACGGAGGCATTGAAGCCCCAGGATGAGGAGCCGTTGGCCTCCCAGTGCAGTACCAGCAGCCCTGTTGGAGGAGAGAGTCCAGAGGTTCATCAGAAGATCGTAACAAAGTGATATTTAAAGAGACAGGGGTTGGCTTTCCCTGGTGGTCCAGGGGTTGAGACTCCACGCTCCCCCATGCAGGGGGCATGGGTTCAATCCCTGATCAGGGAACTAGATCCCACATGCCACAACTAACTGCAGGCTGCCAATTAAGAGCTCACATGCTGCAACTAAGCTCACGCCACAACTAAGACCCAGTGCAGCCAAATAAAGAAATAAATATTTTTTAAAAATAAAGAGAGTCAGTAGGCCTACAGGCTCTCTCACCTCATCACCTCCCACCCTCCCAGCTCTTTGCACTCCAGCACCACTGACCAGCTTCTTATTCTCAGAATAGGAAGTTGTTTGTCGTTGTTGTTTAGTCGCTAAGTCATGTCTGACTCTTTGCGACCCCATGGACTGTAGCCTGCAGGGTTCCTCTGTTCACTGGATTTTCCAGGCAAGAATACTGGAGTGGGTTGCCATTTCCTTCTCCAGGGGATCTTCCTGACCCAGGGATCAAACCCGCATCTCCTGCATTGGCAGGCCGATTCTTTACCACCGAGTCTCAGAGCCTGGGCATCTGCTATGCGTCCCTGAGTAGTCATCCTTGCCCACACTGCCCCCGTCAGGCCTCAAGTGAAATTTCACTTCTGCAAAGAATCCCTCCTCACCTCCCCAGACAGGCCAGGTCCCCAGTCCTTTCCATTTCCTCTCGTCCCTTCTCAAAAAAGTGCGACTATTCTGACTATAATTTGTTCACTGCTGTTTGTCACTTCCCCTTCTGCTGTGAGTCCATGAAGGCAGCGCCTGTGTCCCTGGTTCCCTTCGACACGCCCAGCACGGAGCCCAGGCAGGCCCAGCTTGACAGCTGGGTGCTCAGTAAACGCTCGCTGGGTGAAATGACAGAGACGACTGCTCAGCTCTAGTAGCTCGCTGTGCAGGGTCTGGGCTCGCGTGCCTTCGCCAGCAGGAACAACTCCCAACTCTGCCCTCTCACAGCCTTGCAGCCACTCGGTTTTACAATATGAAGAGAAGCATTTCCAAACACGGGCCCTTTCACTGCAGAGTAGGGTGTCCAGCCCCCACCCATGGGATACCCCTACCCATGGGAAACCAGTAGTACCTCCAATCGTGACCATCAGAACATCTCCAGACACAGCTAAATACCCCAAGGGGCAAAGTCACTCCTGGTTGAGAACCACTAAGCTGAGGAGAGAGATGCTCGGGGGCCCCCACACCAGCTACATTCTGTGTCCCCCACTTGGACCTTCCTTCCAGAGACACAACCCAGCCAGTACAATCTTCAGCTGAAGAAACTGCGATCCAGAGGTGGCAAGGAATTGCGTCACCCAGCAAGTCAGTGGCTGGGACAGTCAGGCTGGGTCCTGAGCCCACCTCAGGCAGCAAGGTACACGGACAAAGGACAGTCCAGGACGGCGGTCCCATTCCCCCAGTGCCCATACCAGACAGGGCCTGCACAGTGAGGGGCCGGTCTCGCCGCTGGCCGCAGAATGCAGCGATGAGGCTACGGTCCGACTGGACGACACCGGTGTCCAGGAAGCGTGGGAATCCATCAAAGGCCAGGACGTAGCTCAGCTGGAGAGGTGAGGAGTCGAGGATCAGTGGATGATGGGGAAGAGACAGAGCGATGCTTGGGGTCTGGGAGGAGAGGAGCTCAAAAAGAGAGGGCAATCTGAGACAGGGGCAAAAGCTGCTTGAACCACCTAGTCTGACTGTCACGCTGTGGCATGGAGGCCACCATTCCTACACCTGTGTCGACAGCAGACATGGTTAATCAATCAGGCACTCATGCATTGAGACTCTTTCTCAATGCACAGATCCTGGCAGCCACTACCAATCCATCAGAGTTGGCACTCAAGGTACAAACGTTTACCATGCCTGGACTGGGGAATGGAAAACTGGGGTCCAGGAAACAGGAGGCAGCCTGGGAAGTGGGAGGGTCTGTGGGCTGAGGAACAGAGGGCTAGGGGCCTGAGGAATAGAGTTGGGAGTTTGATGGATGGAAAAGCAGGGACATAGGGGCCAGGGTCTGTCTGAAGATTCCTACTGGGTGGGGGAACATGGGCCTGTCATGAGCGCCCCTGGTGCTCACCGTGCATGGGGTGCTGCTGTCGGGGGAGAAGGTGAGGGTAAGCGGGGGACAGAGGGTCCCGGGGGCACAGGGCTGCAGCACCTCAGTGGCTGAGACAACCCACACACAATAGGACAGGCCTGGCCCCGCTCTTGCTGCCCCACCACCTGCAGGCAGGAGCCCCCCAAACCGGCGTGAGCCCAGTGCCACTGAGGACACGTTGGTGAGGAGGGCACGACCCCCACACTCCCGGAAGCAGGAGCCACCTGCCCTGGGGGGAGAGAGGGGAGGCAGCGTCAGATCAGTCCCGCCCAGGCCCACCATGTGCTTAACCCCACCCTGCCCCCCACCCCAGCCTGGCTGGCCCCTGGCTCACCGAGGGTCCCCATAGTAGCCAGGTGAGCAGAGCTGGCAGTGGGCACCCTCGGTGTGGTCCTGGCAGAAGCAGAGCCCGCTGAGGTTGTCACAGTGGCCTCGGCGAGGGTCCCCATGCCCATTGCACTGGCAGGGCCGACAGCCGCCGGAGCCCGTGGCGTTCCCGAAGCTGCCAGGCCGGCACCGCTCACAGTGCTCCCCCCACGTCCAGTCTGTGGAGGCCCCCGTGGGCAAGAGACAGGGTCAGGGGCCAAGGCAGGAAGGAGCCCGACCCTCTCTGACCCCACCTGGCTCAAAGCGGGGCAACTGGTACCCAGACTGAGGAGGAAGTGCAGATCCCGGAGGGACGGTGGGTGCTGAACAGGCAGTGGGACCGAGGGACCTGGAGCTGGGGGTGGGGACTCAGGAGCCCCAGGGAGGTGCCTGAGGCTAGCAGCTGGCTGCTCACCCTGGCACTCATCACAGAAGCCGGGCCCCCGCTTGTGGCAGTGGCTGTGGAAGTTGCAGCCACAGTCCCGGGAACAGCGGGGTGCAGGGGGGCCGGGGGCAGGCGTGGGAGGGGGCAGGTCCGACGTCCAGCCCAGGTCACACACGCAGGTGAAGTCTGGGGGGCCGCTGCACACACCGTGGCCACAGTCCTCTAAGCACCTGAGGGGGTGTGGTGGGGGTGGGGGAAGGATGGGCAGGCCTGGAGCCCCCAAGGCATCCACCCCTCTCCCCGCTCCACCCCAGTATCTCCATGGCAACACCATCAGAAGCTACTGCCTGTTCCAGGATCCTGGACTCCGTGGGTGGCCCTGTCTCCAAGGTAACCCCATCACGTGTAGTAACTCCTGTCTCTATAGAAACCAAATATCACCACTGGTGATCTGTTCTCTGTGAAAACCCCTTTCAAGTTAGTCCTCCTCCGTCTCTATGGCAACTGTGGCCTCCAGTCCAAGGGTGACCCGTCTCCACAGTAACCGTGTAACAGTGAGGACCCTGTCGCTCTAATGAGGGGCTGTTTTGCCAGGTAAAAACCCAAGGCTCACTGGGGAGGCTGGCTCCAGGGAAGGCAGCCTGACACCAGGATCACTTCCTCCCAGCCTCTCTGCCCGTACCCGCCCTGGGCTGACATCTCCATGGAAACCCAGGCCCCACTCACGTGCGATTGCAGTAAGTGACGCCATCGCCCTGGTAGCCCCTCTGGCAGTGACACTCGTAGCTGAGGGGTGTGTTCAGGCAGGTTGCCCGCAGGTGGCACCGCGCGAGGCCCAGGCGACACTCGTCCACATCCGGACAGCGGGCATACGCCCAGCGGGCAGGGAGGGCCACAGACAGCCCCAGGCCCTCCCCGACCCACAGGGAGCAGTTCCCCCCACTCAGAGGCCCTGAGAAGTCACCCTGGAGGCAACTGCGGACAGGGGGGTTGAAGAAGGCAGTTGGGGTGGAGGGACAGGGTAAGGAGAGAGAGACAGAGAAACAGGGACAGGGAGAAGAGATAAATCAGAGAGACAGAAAGATGAACATGGAGACAGAAGGAGAAATGGAAGACAGGCAGAGAAAAAACCAGGAAAGCCAGGCAAAAATGATTTTAAAAGACAGGAAAGAGAGGTGGGGACACGGACAAAGGGAGACACAAGAGAAACACAAAGATCAGAAGAAAGAAAACAGAAGGGAAGATGAGAGAAAACAAGTCACAGAAATAGGGAGAGTTGGGAGGGAGAAAAGAGAGAAAGAGAGAAAAGGGGGAGGAGAACAGAGAAAAAGGCCAAGGGGCAGAGAAACAAAGAGGCTGTCAGAATCAGGGTGGGCAGAGAGCCCCCCACCAGCCCCGCCCCCAGCCCTCAACCCTCACCGGCCCAGCGTGGGGTTGTCCTCGTTTCCACACCAGCCACACTCGTGGCTCTGGAGACACTCGTGACAGGTCAGGAAGCGGTCACAGCTCCGGCACCGAGGCTCTGAGTGCACGCTGCAGGGAGGTGGGTGTGAGGCTGCCCGAGCCACCGCCACCCCGCCCACCTCCACCCTCCCCTTCGGGAGCCCTGCCGCCCGGACCGCACCTGTCGTCCCAGCCTCGGCAGCCCCCATGCGGATACCGGGCCAGGTAGGCGGCGAACATGAAGCAGGTGTGGGTGGACTGGCACCAGGCGCACTGGCTCGAGTTGGCCAGGCAGTCGTCACAGGTCAGGCGCCTGGGGGCAGGCAGGGAACGGGGGGGACCGGGTCAGGGCGCTGCCCGGCCCCCACACACACCCTCACACTCCCTCTCCCTGGGCCCAGCGGGGCTCACTGGCTGCAGAGTGGGGGACACTCTTCCGGACTCTTCAGGGCGCCCCGACCCCGGCCTCGCCGGCTGCACGCCGCGTCCCCCTTGCGGCTGGTGCTCTGATGCCACTCACAGAAGGGGTCCTGGGAGGATGGAGGAAGAAGAGCCCAGCTGAACCTTCCCCTGGGCCTCCTGGCGCCAGCCCCCCAGCACCGGCTCACAGACCCCTGGTCCAAGCCCACCTCTCTCCCACAGCCAGGGAGATCCATGGGTTCTGCCTGACCCGCACTGCCCGCTTTGGGGGCAGTAGTGCCACTTTGTGTGGTCCAGGTGGGGCTGATCCAATCTCCAGGATCCAGAGATGGGCAGGGGGTCACCCTCCCTCCTCCCAGTCTCACTGGTCCAGGAGCCGGCACCAGCTCAGAAGAGCACAGAAAAGGCCCTTCAGTGACCTCTGTTGAGCTGAGAGGTGAGGGTGTGGTGGGGACAGGAAGGTGTTCTTCCTCTTGGGACTCAAGTACCCAGAGTAGGGGTGGGGGATGAAAGTCTGGAGCCCTTGAGGCTCCCTTGACCCTCCCAAGGAATGAACTTCCAGGGAAAATGAGGATGTGGAATGGAAGGAGATGAATGGCTGACTACATGGCTTGAACTTCTGGAGCCAGCAGGCCTGAAGACCTGCTCTCGGGCTCTGGCGTCCAAGCGGATAAGGCCCCTCTGGTGCAGAGATGTCAAGCTGGGTTCTCCGGCCCCTGCCACATGCAGAGTCATGACTATGTCAAGCCCACTCTCCAGCCCCTCTCCCACCCGACTCTCACCTCCTAACAAGGGCACCAGCTGTCTACCCTCACCACTGCCCACAGGGTCCCTCGGCCAGCCCTGGGGTCCCTCCCCCCGGGGCTGAGTCGCCTGCTCTAGCTGACCGTGCTGAGACCGCCCCACTGCGGCCTGGTGGGCACCTGCGTGCAGGCGTGGCAGTCGCGATGCTCCTCGCAGAGTGGGCAGAGGGCAGGCACCAGTACGAGCAGGGACCCGCCGGCCCCAGCGTCCCCGCAGTGGGCCCCGCTCTGGCGCAGATGGCAGGTGGCGCTGGCCAGGCACCAGCCGCAGCCCTGGTCTGCCAGGCAGCCCAGGCAAGAGGAGTAGGAGGCGCAGGCCGACGAGCGGTAGGGCTCCAGGAAGAAGAAGGAGATCTCCTGGGGGTGGGGGTGTCAGAGGAAGGTCAGGGCTCCATGCTCCAGGTCAAGGTTTGAAGCTAAAGACTTAAGGATTTGGAGACAAGGTTGAGAATTTGGGCATGCAGAAAGTCAGGGTCTAGGACACTGGCAGACGAAATGGGATTGGGGTTTGAGAGAATCTAGAGATCAGAGGTCAAAGTAGGGAGGGCAGAAGCCAGGGTCAGTGAGGTCAGGGTGGGAGGTGTCAGAGACGTGGACAGGGGTCAGAATACGAGACCAGATCAGACTCCAGAGGTCAGATGCTGGGGTCTGGGAGGTTGAAGGTAAGACCCAGAGTTCAGGAGTCAAGTAAGAGGTCAGGGTCAAGGGAGTTGGTTCGTGGCCCTGGGCTCAGAAAGTCCAGGGCCTCTGGGTACTCACGCTGCCGCCTGGCACGCCAGTCCGGTCCCACAGCAGGGTGAGCTCGCTGTGCCCAGGGCCTGCTGAGCCATTGAGCTGGCCCCGGATCTCTACTGCGTACTTGTGGCCCCGGCCGGGCAGTGGGAAGAGGCGAGCTGACCCTGGGCGCTGCAGCCGCCTCGTCTCCTTCTCCTGCTGTGCCACCCAGCGCCCCACCTCCTCCTGGGGGACAGACGGGGCCCCTGAACGTGCCACCCACACTCTGGCTCCTGAAAACCCCAAGAGCCCCAAAGCCACCGAGCACGTACCCCTTCCAGGGAAGAGGAGGGCCTCAGAGTTCCTTAGACCCTAAGAACCTCCCAGCATCCCCAAACCTCCCAGCGACCCACCTTCTCCTCAGAGGAGTCTGACCTGGTAACTGAGAGCTTCCACTTTTTTAAAATTCCCCTCCAATTCTGTTCAAATGAAGACCCCCCCCCCAGGCCCTCCCTCCACTAAGGATATATCCCAGGCCTCCAGTTTCTCCCCAGTCCTACTCCCCGCCACACACCTACACCCCCTGTGTTTACCATAAAGAGCCCGCTGAGTATCCCAGGCATTCTCACCATGTTTTCTGTGTCCGGGCCCCGGGCCATCCGGGCCAGCACATGCAGGCGCTGGGCCCGGGCCCACACGGCCACATCCTCAGCCCCAGAGCCCCCAGGGCCTCCCGGCAGCAGCGGGTGTATGAAGCCACGGTAGACCAGGGACACGTCGGTCTCTGAGCTCGGCGTCAGGGTGATGGTCGTGCTGCGGACGATCAAGACCTGTGCCGGTGGAGGCGGGAGGCAAGCATGAGGACCTCTCTGCCCGGCCCCAGGGGCCTCATGCCTCTCCAGCCACATCTGAGCCGGAGAGACCAGGCAACCCAATCTCCTCCTCTGTTTTACTAAATGGGAGACTGAGGCCAGGATCAGGGGTGCAGGGGAGACAGACAGCTCACCCATCATTACTCTAGGAAGGGAGCTGGGCTCCAACTCGGACAGCAGACAGTGGGCTCCTAGCCCCTGCTCATCTCCACCTCTCATTAAACTCCAGGGCCCTGGACCTTTCAGCAGCTTCTTCCTCAACATCCTATCTTTCCACTGAAGCCCTTCAGAGTCCAGCTCCCTTAACTAGGGGGTTTGGAGAACTTCCAGGCTACAGGTTAGTGAACACATTCATGTTCCAGGAAGATGTCTCATCCCAACTCCGTGGGAACAGAAGATCAGAACCCTTCAGGACCTCACCCTATGTATCCTGTTCTTTGTTGTAAAATGAACCAGTATGTAAGTTGTAAGTTAAAAAGATAAAAAAAGGAGTCCAGATCCAACATTCAAAGCAATGAACATATTACATGATTTATTGCTAGTATGTGTTTTTATAAATGGGAAAGGGGGGAACAACCCAAGTATTCGTCATGGATACATGCATGCTAAGTTGCTTCAGTCGTGCCTGACTCTTTGCAACCCTATGAACTATAGCCCAACAGGCTCTTCTGTCCATGGGATTCTTTAGGCAAGGATACTGGAGTGGGTTGCCATGCCCTCCTCCAGGGGATCTTCCCAATTCAGGGATCAAACAAGTATCTCTTATGTCTCCTGCACTGGCAGGCAGATTCTTTACCACTAGGTCACCTGGGAAGCCCATGGGAGACTGTTTAAATAAACTAGAACACTACAGCATTAGAATGTAAATGGAATATTATGAAGCTGTTAAAAAGAGAGAGAGTGTTTCCTAACTTCTGCTATGGGACACTTGCCAGGATACACAAAGAAAAAAAGGAAGGTGGCAGTACAGTGTAGACGACATGTTACTTTTTCCACAAGAAACAAAAAATAATTAAATATCAATTTACTCATATTTGAATAGGTAAACTGTGGAAGGATAGATAAGAAATACAAATGCGCCAAAACTGCTGAGCCTGCATGAGTCAACTACTGAGGCCTGTGCACCTCGAGCCTGTGCCCTGCAATGAGAAGGCGCTGCAATGAGATGCCCACTCACTGCAATAAAGACTATCCCCCTCATTGCAACTAGAGAAAGCCCGCCCACAGCAACGAAGACCCAGCACAACCAAAACTAAACAAACAATTTTTCAGAAAAGGAATAAAAGTCTGACATGTGCCACAACACGGATGAGCCTTGAAAACGTTTGCTGAGTGGATGAAGCCACACACAAAAGGCCATGTATTATATGCTTCCATTGTACGACCTATCCAGGGTTAACAAATCCAGATACAGAAGAAGGTTAGTGGTTGCCAGAGGCCAAAGGGAGGGAGGAGTGGAGAGTGATGCCTTAATGGATCTGGGGCTTCCCCTCGGGGTTATAAAAATATTTTCGAACAAGAGAGTGGTGACAGTTGCACAACATCGTGCATGTGCTAAATATCACTAATGGTAAATTTTATGTTGTGTGTTGTCTCACCACAGGTTTTTGAAAAAAAAAAAAAAAAAAAGTTAAGTCAATAAGGAAAATCAGATCCTTGACTGTGAAGACTTAAGGGGTAAACACAAGAGTGATAAAGGTCCATTTGAGGGCTTCCCTGGTGGCTTCAGTGGTAAAGAATCCACCTGCCAATGCAGGAGACACAGCTTCAACCCCTGGTCCGGGAAGACCCCCCCGTTCCATGGAGCAAATAAGCCCCTGTGCCACAACTATTGAGCTTGTGCTCTAGACCCTGAGAGCTGCCATTACTGAGCCTGCATGCTGCGACTACTGAAGCCCATGCGCCCTAGAGCCCGTGCTCCTCAACGAGAGAAGCCAGCACAGTGAGAAGCCTGTGCACCATAACTCGAGAGCAGCCTCTGCCCTCCGCAATGAGAGAAAAGCCTACGCAGCAATGAAGACCCAGCACAGCCAAAGCGCAAGATAAACAAATAAAAACAATTTTTTAAAAAAGATCCATTTGAAAAAATGAGAACTCTTAAGACCAGGCCCTTCAACATTCCATGCTGGGCTCCTCACCCCAGCTTCCCCACCTTGTCAGGCTGGGAGGCGTTGGGTGGCTGCTGGAAGGTGAGCAGGTGCAGGCCAGGCAGGAAGCTCTGGGTGACACAGGCCTCCAGGGAGGTCACAAAGACAGGAGCAGGCCCCCACCAGCCCACGGTGCCGGAGATCTGCTCCCCGCGGCAACGGGCCTGCTCTGTGGGGACAGGAGGGTCGGGAGAGGGGAGTCGGTATGCAGTGCTGGGCCGCCCCCCCACCACTCTCCCCACGCTGCCACTGGACACTCACCAGGCCGAGGGAGGCAGCTCTCATTGTGCACGCACCAGCCCAGGGCGCCGGGCCCCCGGGGGGGAGCCGTGCTGCTGCTGAATGCCAGGCAGGCCTGGCAGTCACCCAGGAGACGGCCCAGGCCCAGGCAGCTGGCAGCTGGACACTGCAGAGAAGGGATACATGGCAGTCACCACCCACAGGAGCTTAAGGGACCGGGGATTCAGGAGTCTTGGGGCAGAAAAAGGTCAGGAAATTGAAGAAAGGAACTGAGAGCCGAGTTGGAACCAGAAAGATCAAGAGGACACAGGTGGGGAATCTAGGGACAGAGTCAGAAGCACAAAAGGATGGGGAAGAGGGTCAAAGGGTCAAGGGTCAGGAATGCCCATCTCAAGTGTGAAAATGAGTCTCCCAAGCACAGCAAAGTCCGTCTCGACTTGGTTTAGGCAGAAAAAGACACTGAGGACCAGGTCTTGTGCTGGGGACAGAGGACAAGGACAGTCACTCACAGCCCCCGAGGGAGTCCCAGGAGGCGGGGCAGCTTGGCAGGCCCCCTGACACCAACTGCATTCAGGGTCTCGGGAGCAGACGCTGTGGTCCGTGTACATGGAGCAATAGTCCAAGTGGTACTGCAGAGAAGTGCGTAGGGAGGAGGGGGCACTCAGACCTAGCACCTCCTCCCATGCCCCCGCTCACCTTGATGGTCCCAGGGGACCCCAACTGCTCAGAACATTGAGGACCCCCGTCTACTTCGCCCCAGCCCCTCTGCCCTCAGCCCCAGGGACCACCATTCCTCCTCCCCCGGACCTGGGGTCTGACCTCCCTCCTATTACAGCCCTTGGGATCTCTTCCCCTTCTCCCAGGGACCCACCCCCACACAATTTCCCTTAACCATGGGAACCAGGTCACCTCCTCCCCAGCCACCCTCTCCCTGTCACCCCAGTGCTCACATCTGGAGCAGGCGCCTGGAACACAAAGGGGGGCACCTTGTAGGCCATCAGGTCCCCACGGGGCCGGCCACTGTACCCCCCGGCCACCAACAGGACACTGCCGCCAAGCACAGCCGCCACGTGTGAGTACCGGCCACTGGGAGGCGCTGCTCGGCCTAGGAGAATACAGACCCCTCAAGGATATGAGACCACCCCACAGCTCCCCCTCTCACCTTCATGGTTACCCACTAGAGGACCACCCCCGAGACCCCATGCTTCAACCCCACTCGTCCAACGAGGCGCTCCCAGCCTGCCTGGCCCTGCTCCGGCCCTAGTTCTCTCATCTCCTGGAGCTCCCACACCACTGCCCAAGTCATCTTTCAGACAGAGCATGCTCTCTGGGATCAGAAAAACTTGGGTTCAGATCCTGGATCTACCACTTCCTTACAGGGGTTTGGGTGGACTCCGGGAGTTGGTGATGGACAGGGAGGCCTGGTGAGCTGCGGTTCTCGGGGTCGCAAAGAGTCAGACATGACTGAGCGACTGAACTGAACTGAACCACTTCCTTGCTTTCAAATCACAGAGCAACTGCTGACTAGTTGTGTGACCTTGGGCGAGAGACTGGATTTCTCTGAGTCCTGGTTTCCTCCTCTGTAAATGGAACCTTGCCTTTGGGGAGCTGAGGTGGGCTACCTGGCCCTCATCTGCCCGACACCTGCCTTCCCCCAGGGACAGCCTCTGCGTTTCCTCTGGGAAACCACCCCTCCCACTCACACTCGCCAAGGCTCAAGTCGAGCTGGCCTGGACTCTGGCAGCAGTGGGGCTTGAGCCCAGGCTGATCAGAGTCAGTGACTAGTTCAGGGAGGGAACGTAATTTCTACTATTCTTGGGGGAAAGATACGGTCTTCTTCCCAGGCATTTAAAAAAAAAATTTATTTTAAATTAAAGGATAATTGCTTTACAATATTGTGTTGGTTTCTGCCATAAATCAGTATGAATCAGTCATAGGTATATATCTGTCCTCTCTCCGGGCATTTTAAAAGGGGTGAATATAATCGCAGAGCTGCTGGTGACCATCTACAAAAGCAAACCTGCCAGAGACTGAAGGAAACCGGGCCGAGAACTGGAGAGAGACATGGCCGAGGCCATCACATGAGCACCTGGATCCAGGCCAGCCTGCCCCCAGTTTTCACTCAAGGGAGTTAAGACATTCTTCTTTTTGCTTAAGCAGTAGGCCTTCTCTCACTTACAACCAAGAGTCCTGACTGATGAGTACCTATATGCTCTGTAAGTGCAGGGGACCTGGCCCAGGGATCAAAGTCTACAAAGAAAGAAGAGGCCTCCAGAAGCCTCACACTCTGGTCTATCCAGTAAGGGAGCCTAAAGGTGGGCTGGGATCGGAGGCCTCCAACGCTAGGCCAAGGCTTTATTTCTGACAGGCAAACAGACCTCCTTACGGACCCCTCCTCCTGCCCACCCCTTAAATGCTACTGCCCCTTCTTACGCTTGTCCTTTGTCCTCACCCTTCTATTCAGTAGGGTGGGGAGAACAGATGGGCCTCTGGGGAAGTCCAGAGCCCGCTGAAAGGATATGCCCAGCTTGTGCACACAAGTATCTTTCTCAAGAGAGGGCCTGTGATTTTCTTCCCACTTGCAAAGCTGTCCCTGATCTCCTGAGCTTGAAAGGCTTCTCCACACGCCCTCCAGGTGAGCCCTCTGGCCCTGCGCTCTTAGGACGGTGTGTGGGGCCCCTCCTGGACGATGCTCACTTGTTCCTCACTTTATCAATTTATTCTCACCACAGCCCAGAGGTTTAAGTGTTATTACAGTTTTCAGAGGGGAAAGCTGAGGTACAGAGAGATTAAATGATGGCTTTTACACAAAAGGTTGTTGAGGAACGGTCATTTCGCTTCAGCATCTGCCCACTGTCTGACCTTGAGAAAGGCGCTTCTTTGGAGGCAGTTCCCTGGGACGGCTGAAAACTGGCAAAACCTCAACTGCAACCCAGATCTGATGCTACTGAACGTGTCTCCCATCTGCACAGCAATGTCCTGGTCCTGCCTCCAGTGCAGCCATGCCTCCTGAGGTCAGCTCCAAACAGGACCGGGTGGTTTCTGCCCAAAGCCCCACATCACTATGGGGGCACATGTGACCCTCAGGAGCCCCTGACAGAAACAGAGGGGCCACTCACCCTCAGGAGTTCCTGGAGGGGCCAGCTCGGCCCCTGACACCCACTGGTGGCAGCCCAGATGGTAGAAGAAGATGCCATCTTCATAGCACTTTTCCTCCTGGTAGTGGGTATGCACATTGCCCCCTGGGGAAGGAGAGGGGCACAGCTGGCCAGCCTGGGGGAGGTGAGGGCATCCATGCAGGGGGTCTCAGCTCAGATGTGGGCCCCTGGCAGGCAGGCAGGCGGGCAGGTGGGCACGGGCAGCCTCCTCACCATAGACCACCATGTAGTTGCCCAGGACACTGGCCGTGTGAAAGGCTCGCTCCCGTGGGCCCTGAAGTCCATCCCGGCCCTTCAGAGTGGTCCACACGCGCCGATCCACGTGGAAGAGCTCGGTGGAGTTGACCCGCACAGAGAATCTGTCGGGGAGGGGTGAGAGAGGGGCTCAGGGTAGGAAGGGCCTCTCTCCCTCCTCTGCGCTCTTAGGAGTCGTGATCCCCCAGGGTTGAGACTGGCTTTACTAGATATTTATCCTCTTGGAACTAGCAACAACTCACGGGCAGGACCCAAGTCCGACACATCTCTGGGTTCCCTGCATAATCTAGCCAGGGCTGGACACCAAGCAGAGGTGAGGGGGATGGATGGGTGTGCGTGGGGAAGCACGTGACCAAGAGATTGGATGACAGAGTAGAGAATGGGTGAGTGGGTGAGCAAATGAATGAGTGAAGGAAGAAAGGAAGGGGTGGCTGAGTGACCGCAGGAGTCTATCAGTGGGTGAAGACTGCTAAAGCCTAAAGGCCCGGGGTGTTGGGCCAGGCCCGGCTCTGCAAGGCGGGGGTGGAGGGCAGGTCACTCACCGGGCAGTGGAGGGCCGGTGTCCACCATGAACCAGCAGGGCACGGGAGGGGGCGTGGAACACCATGGAATGGCCGGTGGCGGCAGGGGGCCGCCCACCTGCTGGCATCACCTGCTCCCAATAGCCCCCACTGGTGCCATCGAGGCGGAAACGGAAGAGGCCAGAGGAGAAGAGGTCGTGCTGGGTGCGGCCACCAGACACATAGAGCCAGGTGTTGTCCACGAGGGCTGCCGCGTGACCTGCCAGGCCGGGCGGCCCCGAGGGACTGGAGGCAGGTGGTGCCAGAAGCTCCCAGCGGCCACCGCCCATCGGGTTAAAGGCCCAGATGTCGCTGGTGAGGGTGCCATCAGCCAGCTCACCGCCCATCAGCACCAGGGAGCCAGCCCAGGCCACAGCCACGTGGGAGTGACGGGCAGCCTGTGAGGAAGAGACCAGGATGCAGAGATGGAGAGGGAAACAGGTGGTGCCACCCAGAAGGACAGGGACACCTAGCCAGATGGAGATGCCGAGACAGGGCGGGACGGAGAGACAGACAGACACACGCCAGGGGAGAAAAGAAGAGAGACCCCGAGAGATGGACACATGCAAGTACAAAGAGAGGGGTGGCAGAGAAAGGCAGGAAGAAGAGGAACTATCAGAGAGAAACGACAGAGACCAGGAGTGTCAGATGCAACCCAGAGAGCAGGAGACGCAGAGACTCAAACAGCATAGATGCAAAGTCAGAGACAAAAACAGAAGGGGAAGACGCAGAAAGGAAGACAAAGGAAGAAGAAAGAAAAGCACAAGCGGGAGGGGTCGGTGACCCTGCATAAAGCTGCAGGGGCTGGGGGTGTGCGGGGTAACAGGGTCACTCTGGAGCGGCATCGACTCAGTGGACGTAAGTTTGAGCAAATTTGGGGAGATAATGAAGGACAGGGAAGCCTGGCGTGCTGCAGTCCATGGGGTCGCAAAGAGTCAGACACAACCAAGCGACTGAACAGTAACTGGGATGCCCTGGCTGGCTCTGACAGAGCGGACAGGCTCCCCCAAGCGGGGCAGAGGTGGGGGCCATACCGGGGCAGGGCTCAGGTCCCAGCGCTCCCAGGTGTTGGCAGAGAAGTTGTACAGGACGAGGTCACCCAGGGCACGGTTGAGGTCCTGGCCTGTGGAGAGGAGGACAGTGTCAGGCCCTGGCCCAGGCTGCCAGGCCTCCAGACCCCAGACTCAGATCATATGCCATCTGCTCACCTCCGAAAACAGCCAGCAGCCCTGGTGGGGACAGGAAGGCCCCGGCTGCCCCGATACGGGCAGAAAAGGCAGGGTCCCCAGCACTCACGTTGTGCCACCAGCCAGCCCCCTGGTTCTCCCACAGGTGCAGGTCACAGGCGCGTCCCAGGAAACCAGGCTCACAGCGGCACGGTCCCAGGGGCTGGGGGGAAGGGGACACATAGGCAGGGACAGACAGACAGAGACAGGCACCAGAGACAACAGCCAGGGTGAGACAGGCGGAGCAGAAAGTGAGGAGAGAGATGAACACGAAAGGAGAAGATGGAAAAACAGAGAGGCAAGGAGAGAGACGGGAAGGAGACAGAGAAAGAGATGGACAGAGACGCACCCAGAGGGAGGCGGAGCAGTGGAGAAAAGAAGCCAGACCAGCAGAGAAAGGAAAAGGAAAAAGACCCGGAAAGAAAAACGAGGACAGAGAGGCAGGTTGGAGAAAAAAAAACAGTAGTGAGGTCAGGGTCGGCCTGGGCTGCAAGAACTCAGGTCTGGGGAGGTCAAGGCAGGGAGGGCTTGAAGCTGATCCAGTCCCAGAGCTGGACATGCATGGCTCAGGCCCTGGGTCAGTGGTCAAAGGTCAGAAGTCATGGGATGTCCCTGCAGCCTAGTGGTTAAGATTTTACCTTCCAATGCAGGGGTGCCTCCCAGCCAAAAAACCAAAACATGAAACAAGCAATATTGTAACAAATTCAATAAAGACTTGGGGGGAAAAAAAAGTCAGAAGTCACAGCTGGGGGCCCAAGCCAGACAGAGTGGAGAGGTGGGAATGGGAGGGTGGAGTCGGGCCTGGCAAGAGGAAGGAAGGCGAGTTCACGTGTGACAGGTGGGTTACAGGTGAGGCTGGGAGTGGGTTCAGGCCAAGGAGGGGCCCTGGTGGAGTGTGATGGAGTCATAGGTGGGGGAGTGGGGAGTTCTGTAGGAGGGAGCAGGGTCCCCGGGTGGGGTCAGCATCGTGGGGGAGGGCAGGCTGGCAGGGGCTATCTCTGGCAGGAGCAGAGTCAGAGCCAGGAGGTGGGGGTGGAAGGTGTGGCCACAGGCCGGGGTCCAGGGGGACAGGCTCACCGAGGCGCAGGTGCCGTGGCTGCCGCAGTACGCTGAGCACTCCTGCAGGCCGCAGTCGGAGCCCCCCCAGCCCGGCTCGCAGACACACACCCCCGGAAGCTGGCACTGCCCGTGGCTGCGGCAGCCGCCCGGGCACAGGGAAAAGCGGAAGGAGGCGTTGAAGCCCAGCAGGTTGTAGTTGGCATCACTGAAGAGGTGCAGCAGCATCTGCAGGCATGGGGTACGGGGCTCTGGGGCAGCACGGACGGGGGTCTGCTCCTGCACCCCCCACCCTGGGGCATCCCATCTCCTGTGTTTGTCTCTCTCCACCTTTCTTTGCCCCTGTATCCTTCCGATGGGTGCCGACTGCCTTGGCCTCATGTTTCCCTCTGTGTGTCTACCCCCATGACCTACACACTTCGCTTGGCTCCTCCAGCCATGGCCCCGCAGCCCAGCCCCACCAACCTTGCCCGAGGAAGCCTCGATGGGCGGAGGCCGTGTGCTCCCACTCAGACTGGCCAGCAGGGGCCCGCGGGGGGAGTCACCATCATACACGAACAGGTAGTCGTAAGTGCATTCTGTGTCCAGGAAAAGGAAGTCCAGCAGGATCCGGTGCTGGGAGCTCGGGGCTGAGCGGTGAGAACAGGGAGGCCGGGCTCAGACATGGGCCCTCCCCTTCCTGCCTCCACGCAGCCCACCCACAAACACCAAGCCCTGCTCCTCACGATGCTGGGCCCAAAGATAAGTCAGGCCTGGGCTTTGCCTTCAAGGGACTCCCAGGCTCCCAGCCCAGGGAGGATGGGGCTGCAATAGCAAGAGGGACAGAAGCTCAAAGAAAGGACAGTATCAGCCCTGGGAAGGGCTCCTGAGATCAGGCCGAACACCCCCTATCATTCAGATGGGAAAATTGAAGTGCAGAGAGGAACCCCATCCCAGTGGTCACAAAGAACTGTTCCCATTTATTCTTGAGCCTTGGTCACGCCTAAGCCTGAAGGTCAGGGTTCACGCCCTAGCAGAAGGCAAACTCCCAGATGGAAAAGGGCCTCTGTGGGCATCGTGAGTTCCAGGCTCAAGGAGCTCTAAGGGAAGAGGCCTGTTTCTTCCCCCTGGGCAAAGACCAAACCCTGTGGAGCACCACAGCTCCTCTCTGCCCTGACCCAGGGTCTCTTCTCTCTGTGTACTGTACTAGCTAAGGGCACAGCTTCTGGAGCCAGACTGACTGGGCTCAAATCTTGGCTCTGCCACTTACTAGCCACTAGTAAGTTGTGTGACATTGGGCAAGTCACCAGACCTCTCTAGATCTGTTTCCTCATCCGTAAAACGGGGATATAATCACTGTGGTCGATGCAAACTTCTTGGTCACTCCTCCCATCAAGGGATGAGGGCTGGACTTCGCCAGTGGTATAGTGGATACGTATCCACCTGCCAATGCAGGGGACACAAGTTCAATCCCTGGTCTGGGAAGATTCCACATGCTGCGGAGCAACTGAGCCTGCACTCTGGAGCCCATGCTCCACAACAAGTCACTGGAATGAGAAGCCCACACGTCTTAACCAAAGGAGCACCACTTGCCACAACTAGAGAAAGCCCATGCAAAGCAACGAACACCCAGTGCAACCAATAAACAAGTAAATTTTTAAAAATTAAAAAAAAAGAGAGAGAGATAAGGGCTGATTCCTGACCCCTTGTATCTGGGAAGAGACTAGCTTGGCCAATGCACAACAGCAGATGTGAAGCTCTGGGACTCTCAAGGCTAGATCAGAGGAAGCCTGTCACTTTTACCTGGGCCTCGTAGAATATGCCTTCTCAGAACCCAGCTGTCATGCTATGAAAAGCCAGCATCACGTGGAGGGGCCATGTGTGGGTATCCCAGCTGTCAGTCCCAGCTGAGCCGCCAGCTGCCATCAACTGCCCGCCCGTGAGGGAGCATCCTGGGTGCCTGGCCCAGACTGTTCAGATGACTGACCACACGGGATGCCGTAACAGATAAGGCACCTTAAGTGCTGATTTATGATGGGGCCTCACACTTCATAATGCCACTACTCCTGGCACTGTCACCATTCTTGCTCTCTGTCTGGTTCCAGAAGGTTCTCTCACCCCATGTCTCTCACTAGGGGCTCAGGGAGGTCTTGTGGGCTGGGGCAACTAGGAAACCTAGGTTCCAGCTCTGCTCGGACCTGCTGGAGGACCAGCCCCTTTCCCATGCTCCTCACTACACCTGTCTGCGCACTGGAGGTACTCATCCACCCTTCACTAGTTCCCGGGGCTCTCAGGGCCTCAGTTTCCTTGATGTAATTTGGGGATGATTCTCACCCAAGGCTGGTGTGACGATCCCAGATGGTGACTCCAACATGCCAGCGCAGGCCTCCTTCCTGGCCTCCTGTCTTCCCCTGACATGGCTCCCTGAAGGATCCCCCTGGCTCAACCTCTGGTCCTTACCCTCCCCTGCTCAAAAGCCCTCAGTGATTCCCCACCATCTCTAGGAAAAAGTTCAGCTCCCTAACTGGGGGTTTGGAGTCTCAACCTTCCCCACATCTCCCCATGGCTTACAGTTCAATCAGGAGCTGGGCCTTTGCACAAGCTCCTCTCTGTCTTGAGCACGTTCTCCCTTCCTGCCAGCACACTTCCCCACCTTCTCCAGGAAGCCTTCCCTGATGCCCCCTGGCTGGGTGAGGGGTCCCTCCAGGTTCTCACTTTCCAATACAACCTCCATTTCTCTGGGCCAGGACCATCTGTGTCCACGTCTGTCTCCCTGCAACCGAGGCGGCCCACAGGACAGGGCCTGGGCCTACTCATCTTGTGGGTCCCTCCCCGATTCTGCCCAGCACAGGGCCTGGTGCTGAGCAAAGGCTCAGAAAACACTGGATGAAGGAAGGAAGAAATGCACCAGACAGAATACTGAAGCTGGCACCTCCCCTCTGGCTCTGGCCAGAGCCCCCAAGAACATCACACAGAGACCCCGAGCTGTGGTCTGGAGAACGGAGAAGAACCATTCAGCCAGGCCGGGCAACCAGACCTCCCAGAATCTTACCAGCCTCAACCACACTTTAAAGCTCTGTCCCTAGAATCACAACAAACACATCTTTGTCAAGTGTCTGCCAGAGGCTGCCGGCTCACCATCTGCCTTCCTGAAGTTCCTCCCTGAGTCCAAGTCCTTCTGTTTCCATCCAACAGGGGCCTAATCCCCAGACCATGCTGGACAGAGATCTGAGCCCAAATGCTCCTGCTTTTCAAAGGCTTAATGCCTCTTATTCATAAGGATGTTATGAATCCTTACGAGCACTGGGCCCAATGAAGTGTGAACATGGTTTAAAAAAAAAAAAAGTAAGTGCGTCATTTGCTTATTTTTTAATAGATGGGGGAACATGTTGGTTCTTAGTGGTGACAGACACTGGGAAGGATAGGACCTCAAGGAGGAATCCAGAAGTCTCCCAGACACCTCCTTACCCCAACATCCAGCCAACTGGTCCCCAGGTCTCATGTGTGAAACATCACACGTCTTTCAGCATTCTCCATGCCTCTCCACCCCCTTAGTTCCTGCCCCAATTCAGAACTCGTCATTTCCCACAAGACAAGCACACCAAGTCTCCAGTCTGCCCCTTACCCAGCCTGACAGCGACACCCCACTCCTGCTCAAAATCCTCCTCTGGCTCCCCACCAATCCCCAGAGAAAAGTCAGGCTGTTCAGTGTGACATTCAGGGCCTTTCCTTCCCTGTTTCTGGCCTGCTTTGCTCTTCCCAGCCAACAGTTCAGCCAGATCAGATGAGCTGAGACAGGGTTCTGAGACCCACCAGTCCTCCGTTTTATTTTTCTGGTGGCACGTGGGATCTTAGTTTCCCAACTAGGGATCAAAAACCCATGTCCCCTGCAGTGGAGACTTAACCGCTGGACCACAAGGGAAGCCCCACCAGCCCCTCTTTTGTCTTCACAGGGCTATTCCCTTTTCTCACCCGGTACACTCCTAACCCTGAATATTCGCTGGAAGGATTGATGCTGAAGTTGAAGCTCCAATACTTTGGCCACCAAGTCCGAAGAGCTGACTCACTGAAAAACCTGATGATGCTGGAAAAGCTTCAGGGCAGGAGGAGACGGGGGTGACAGAGGATGAGATGGTTGGATGGCATCACCAACTAGATGGACATGAGTTTGAGCAAACTCCAGGAGATAGTGAAAGACAGGGAAGCCTGGTGTGCTGTAGTCCATGGGTCGCAGAGAGTCAGACCAGACTTAGAGATTGAACAACACTCCAGTGCATGTTTTAGAACCCTGCTCAGTGGCTGCCCCTCTGTGACTCCCAACAGAGTCTTTTCACTCCTCCAGGCCCGTCTACCCAACCAGGCACCTCTTTCCGTCTCAGCCCTGGGCACACTGGAGGCTGAATGTCTGTGTCTGGCCTTACCATCCCCAAGCAGGCTGGAGCTCTTCAAAGCCAGAGAACAATTTACATCCCCAATGCATACACACACTTCCCATTCTCTTCTCAACCCCTAGATGAGGATGGCCCCCACATTAGGGACAGACACACTCAACCCCAAGAAACATGCTTCACCCATACCCCACACAACAGCCAAAGATCTTATAAACCATAAACTGGATCATGACTTTCCCTGTTCAAAACCTTCCATGGATGCCCTGTGTCCCCAGATAAAGACCAAGCTCCAAAGCCTGCAAAAGGAGGTCTGGCACGACCCAGGCCCTGTCACACCTCTGGTCTTTGCCCAGGATCTCCTCTGGGGGACTTCCACCTCTCCGCGAAGGCCAGCTCCTCATTTGCTGCCAAGGGAGGCCTTCCTGGACTTCTCTAGCCACTGCCTTAGATTGCTCCTCCACCTCCTTATGGTCCTCAGGGCACAGCTCAAAATCACCACATCCTACACCTTCTGGTTCCTCCCAAGCCTCCAGCCTCTGGCTCACTGTCTTCTTGGACTCTGTGTCCTAACATATAGATATCTTAAAGAATCTGCCTGCAATGCAGACCTGGGTTCAATCCCTTGGTCGGGAAGATTCCCCTGGAGAAGGGAATACCCACTGCAGTAGTCTTGCCTGGAGAATTCCACGGACAGAGGAGCCTAGCAGGCTACAGTCCATGGGGTCCCAAAGAGTGGGACTCACACACACAAAAGCATCATACACTTATTTCCGGGCCTTTGCACGGGCTATTCTCCTTACCTGGAATGCCCTTTTGCTCTCTCCTACATATGCCTCTGGTCTCAGGCATAGCCCAGGCTAAGTCAGATGCCATCTCTGAGGTTCTCACTCCCTAGGAGTGGGTTTGTTTCCCCCACTAGACTGGGAGCCCAGAACGGTAAAAATGGGGCCTTTGCACAGGCTATTTCCTCTTCCTGAATGCTTTTCTCCTCCTCCTGGCTGATTCCCATAGGTCTTTAGTCCTCAGCTCAGACATCTCCTCCTCCAGGAAGACTTCTCTGCTCCTACTCACCCCACAGAATCAGGTACCTCCTCTGGGCACCCCCAGGTCCGTGGGGTTCCTTCATCACAGCCCCGACCACACCAGGATGGACTATTAACGTGTTTGCCTCCCCCACTAGATTCCAAGCCCCAAGTCATCACAGAGTGCTGAGGCTCGTGGGTCTCTCTGCTGAATCTCAGTGGCAAAGACAATACCTGGTACATGAATGACTGAAAAACTGCTTTCATTGAAGTACTTTAAAAAGAACAACACTAATAATCCTAAGACCATTTATTGGGTATTTACTATGTACCAGGCACAGTATACCTGTTCTCATTTAATTGCAATAGCCCTATGAGGTGAGTACTATTACTATAACCACAAGCAGGGAGGGAAAGCCAAATCTTAGAGAAAGGAAGCCACCTGCCCAAATTCACAAAGCTAGGAAGAAGCGGAACCCAAATTTGAAGCCAGGTGGCTGGGCTCAAAGCCTGAGTTTCCAACTTCTTTTTAAATGAAGCTTTAAAATTTTTTTTAAATTTATTTTTACTTTTTTGATCACATCAAGCGGCATGCAGGATCCTAGTCACCACCAGAGATTGAACTCACGTCCCCTGCAGTTGAAGCACTGAGTCTTAATTGCTGGACCGCCAGAGTAGCCACTAAGTATCCAAGGATTACTCAGAACAGTCCGCACTGATGCTGTGGCTTGTAATTGTCCATCTGGTCTGGGTGCAATTCCCAGACCAGACTTCAAGGCCTTCCAAGGCAGGGCCCAGGTTGGCTGCATTTCAGAGCAAAGGGCCTACACCAGAATGGGTTCTGGGAACGTGGTCAGTGGATGAATGAAGGCACAAATGAATGAATTAGCGCACCAGCGGGTGTGTGACCCACGCGGCCCCACTCACCCTCGATGAGCCATTCGCAATTGCCATTGACGCTGTAGTTGCCCGCACCATCTGTCACGAAGCCTGGAGCCTCCCGCAACACTTGCCGCTGGCCCTTGCAGTCCCCTGCCTGGGCTCCAGGGGACAGTGGCCCCAGCACGGCCAATGATATAGCCAGCGCCGCAGCCAGAGCCCGGCCCAGGGCCATCGCCGCCTCCTCCCGTACTGACGGGTCGTAAAGCCCCGGAGAGGGCCTTCCACCCCGTTTGAAGCCCTGCAGACCTCTATGGATGGGACATGGCCTTGTAGACCAGCGGGGTCCAGGAGCCGCTGGGACAGCCGCTGTCGCCGGGCTCTGGAGATGGAGGGGTGGGCCTTACAGACCCATGGAAAACCCTGTAATGGGGGTCGTTATGGACGGGGCGGACCCTTAGGGGCCATGGGAGTCCCTTGTAGACATGGGCCCCCATAGGCTAGCTGACCCCATGAACGATGTCCAGCAGTTACAGTCGAGGGCCGCTGCAGGCCGAAACGGACCTTATAGACCACTAGGGTCCCCAGTGGGCGAAGGGGTGTACAGTTCGGCGGGGGCCTACATCAAGGATGCGGGCACGTCCTGGACCGGAGGGTCCTCCGGGAGAGAACCCTCCAGTCAGGGGCGGGGCGCGAGCGGGTGCCCGGGGCAGAGTCAGTCTTCAGGGTCTCAGGCCTGGACCCCACAGACGAACTCGCTTGCTCACCCACCCGCGACTCCCGTCCGAGCCGGATGAGCCAGATCAGAGAGACGAGGGGACGCTAGGGCCAGAGCGGCCAAGGGAAGACCCGCTGGGAGGGAGAGAGGGCGGGGGCCTAGCGGCCGCTGTGGAAAAGAAAATAAAGAGGAGGCGAGAAGTTGCAGAGACGCAGGTCAGAGCGGCCCTGGGAGGACTGCAGAGCACCCAACTCCACCCCTCCACAAAGGGAGACTTCCGGAAACTTCCCCGCCCATTTGTTCCTAGACGCAGGCGCAGCAGTGACCGCCTCGGCCGGTGAAGTGAGAATTACACATGCGCGGTGCTAAAATCTTAACCCGAACTCCCGGTGCAGGTGGCTGAGCAAAGCAACGGCCACTGGAGGGCGCTTCTACCTATAACTGGGGCAGAGAAGGTAAAAATAAAGCTGTACAGTAAGAGGACTCTGCTAGATGATGATTCATACCTTCAGGGCTCTCCTATTATGGGTCAACAAAAGGTCAGGTTATGCAGGTCCCTCACAAGATACCATTTCACAGTTGGGCACACTGAGGTCCCGAGCCTGGAATGGTTCGTGTTCAGCACGGTCTCTGAGCACTATCAAGATGTAAAAGAGCCCATCTTAAAGATAAAAACTCAACGAATCCTCTTTATTTTGGCAAGAAGGGAAAAAGTCTTTCTGCCAAGGACCTGAGGGAGGGCCTCCGGGATGGAGATGGGGGGGTGGGGGGCGGAGTACGGGTCCGAGGTCACAGAGATCCAGGGGAAGTTTTCAGAGTCGAGAGTAGCTTCACAATATCTGTCCTGGGAGCAGTGAGTGGCTCGGGGTCGCAGATTCCTGGAGAGCCTCAGGCAGGGTCCCGGCGATGGTCACTGGTGTTCCGGGGTCCGGCGGGGTCAGACGTCTCGGAGGGGGCCAGGGGGCCGGAGGTCACGGAACAGCGGGAGCCCAGAATCCGGTGCCGCTCGGGGCAGGGGCTGAGGGAGGGGACGGGGAGAGCGGCTCCCGCGGGACCGTTTGGCACGAGTCAAAGGGGGACTGGGCGGGAGCGGGACACTACACACCCCTACCTGGGCGCGCGGGGTGGGGAGGTTTGGCAAGGCCGGGGACGACAGAGCCCGGGGGCCGGGTTAGAGAGGGGATCTGGAGCCCGGCCGGGGCCCGGCGCGCGGCCCATGGGGCAGGGGCAGGCAGGGGTGCTCAGACCGGGGGTGCGGTGCCCCCGGCCGTGTGCATGCTGAAGTACTCGGTGAAGCCGGTGTGCGGCGCCGCTGTCTGGGGCACGAGCGGCTGGTAGGGCGGCGTCGGGCCATCCCAGCTTGGGTCGGCCGCCTTGGGGAACCGAGAGGAAGGGGGCGGGGAGGCCGCGCCCGGCTCGGCCATGGTCACCACGCGGCCCCTCGGGGCCGCCGCCGCCGCCACCGCTGTCTCCTCCACCTGCTTCCCGGCCTGGGAGGGGGGTCAGGATCAGAGGCCGTCCTGGACCCAAGGAGGGGCAAATGCGGCCCCGAAGGCCCGTCCCCCTCCCCGCGATGATCCCCCCTCCCGAGGTGTGGGCGCAGGGGTCAGTTAGGGGCGCCTGGGCAGTGGGGCCAGGTACTCAAGCGGGGGCGTCGGGGTGCACCGGGCGAACTCCGGCGGTGGCCGGGGAGGTGGGGGAGAACCGCGGAAGGCCAGCGGCGGCGGGGGCACTGCGCGGGGTGTCTGAGGGGGCGTACGCAACAGCGCCAGGACCCACTCTGGCAAGGTGGGCGCGGGCGCCGGGGGACGGTCGCGGCGCGGCGTGGGGGCGCGGGGGCTGCGAAAGGCAGGGGGTGGGCTCAGGCGCCTGGGCGTGGAGGGCGGTGGAGGGGCAGGGAGCGGGGTCAGGTACTCCAGGGGCGGCGCCAGCAGCTCCTCGGGCGCCGGGGGCGCGGGGCTTACGCAGGAGGCGGGCGGGGGTATGGAGAAGAGCTCCGTGAAGTTGGGCACCGAGTCGCTGATGAACGTAACGTTCCCATAGACGTGCTGCGGGAAGGCCTTGTCTGCGGACTGGCTGCCTTCAGGGCCCGGGGCTCCAGCGGAGGCGATCTGCGACGTGCGCACGTGGTATGGGAAGTTCTTGTTGGCCGCTGAAGGGCGTGTCATGATCTGGGACGAAGGGCAGGCGCAGGTTGGAGAAGGGCTGTCCAGGCCCCAGGCTGCCTTCATAAACAGGAGCCCTAAGGACTCCCCCGTTCACTTGATACCCCCGCTTCTCTGAACCCTTGAACTGGATTTGGCACCTCCTCTGGGCTCTCACAATGTCCTGGGCTCTAACTTTCAATCCGTCACCACTTTACTACTCTGCAGGCGCTTCCTCAGTCAAAGCCCTGCGCTCCCAGTTATCACTGAATGGTTAAGCTGCAGCATCCTATGATATCTAGTAGGATGTGGGTGTGCTAAATCGCTTCAGTCGTGTCCAACTCTTTTCGACCCCATGGACTTAGCCGGCCAGGGCCCTCTCTCCATGGGATTCTCCAGGCAAGACTACTGGAGTGTGTTGCTGTGACCTCCTCCAGGCGATCTTCCCCACTCAGAGAATTGAACCTGGGTCTCTTAGGTCTGCACTGGCAGGCAGGTTCTTTACCACTAGTACCACCTAGGAAGCCCATCTAGTACAATAGTTACTAGCTATATGTGGCTAATTTAAACTAACCAAAATTAAACTAAAACTTTTATTTCTCAGTCACACTGGCCACATTTAAGTGTTCAGTAGCCACATGGGGTTAGTAGCTATTGTATGAGACAGCACAGGTGGTAGAATATTTTCATAAACAGAAAATTTAATTGAAGAGCAACTGACAGACTCTAGAATGTTAACTCCTTGAGAGCAGGTACTTGATGGCTCTTTTCCCTGCTGAATCCCCAACATCTTCTAGAACAGTGCCTGACACATAGCTTATAGCTCTCAATACATAATGGTTAAATGTAGAGATGTCTCCGGAATTAGCTGGCAGGCCACAAGGGCAGGGACTGGGGTGACCTTAGCACTGCACGCGGGAGCCCAGCTCAGTCCCTGCAAGGTTGTTGCTGAGTAAGTGAACAAGGAGCTGAAACCAGAGCAGTGGAATGCCTGCCCATGGCAGAGCTGTGCTGAGCTAATGTGAGCATTTTTAGGAAGGAAACTGGTCGAAAGTGAAATATAGCAGAAAGGGCACTGTGTCCGGTGTTCTGAGCCCACACCCCACCTCCTGGCCCCACAGTTCACTGAGTATGGGTTCTGGGGCACGCTGATTAAACTCCCAGAACCAAATAAATAAATAAACTCCCAGAACCTCACTGCACAAAAGGAGTTGCAGTGCCTACATGAAAAGATGAAGAGAGGGTGGAAATGAAAACCGCTGGTGCAGACCCTAGCACATGGTGTGTGCGTGTGCACTAAATCGCTTCAGTCGTGTCTGACTGTGTGTGACTCTATGGACTGCAGCCTGCCAGTCTCTATCCATGGGATTCTCCAGGCAAGAGTACTGGAGTGGGTTGCCATGTCCTCCCCCAGGGGATCTTTCCAACCCAGGGATCAAACCTGCATCTCTTAGGTCTCCTGCATTGGCAGGCAGGCTCTTTACTGCTAGCATCACCTGGGAAGCCCTGGCATATGGTAGGTTCTTAGCATTTCGCCTCTCTCTGTCCCTCTGTGACTTCCTGCAGAGCCTCAAGAGGAACCATCCCAGGAAAGTGAGTCTGTAACTAAGTCGGGTTCCAGGGTAGACCATGGGGAACCTGGCCCCCTCCCTCAGTGGCTGAGTATATTCCCAACAAAGAATACATGGTGGACCCCTCAAGTCAGGAGCTGGGACCATCAGCAATGCCTATTTCCCTGTCTGGTTCCCACTTATGCCAGATCTTCGGTCTGCTAGAGAACCCCACCACCCCCACCAATGGCCACGGAGCCTGGCAGGTCACCTCCCCTCTCTGGGTTTCAGCTCCCCTCTCTGTATAGTGGTTTCAATGACTATTATCCATCCCGCCCTGGGGTTGCTCTGCCAAGTAAACAAGACAGCAGAAATAAAGGCATATGGGTGTTCCCAGCATGAAACAGAGGCTGGTTTGAGAAAGGTGCCCACTGAATGGTTGATGGATGGATGGAAGAATGAATGAACAGACGGACTGGACTGTCTCCCAGAAAGCCAGATAGGATGTAAACCAGCGCAAAGAAGAGATTTGGTGCTGGTAACCCCTGCTGCCATTCAGATCTAGGCCCCCTGGAGCCCCAGCTTGACCCAACCCAGTGGCTTGGGCTGTGATGGAGTGGCAGAGATGGGAGGATGTGAGGGGGCTGCCGGGGAGTAGAGACCAAGGGGCTTAGGGAAGGCAGTGGGGATACAGAAGGGGAAAGTGAGAGTCTGGGGACCCAGGGTCAGGATGGAAATGGGGATGGGGCAAATAGAGTAGGGCTGGGGGAAGAGCCCAGGACACAAAAGTAGGAGAGAGGAATAGAAGAGGGTGGACTCTGGGGGATACAATGGAACAGCCTGCAAGGACCCAGCAGGCTCTCAGTAAGCGTGTGTTGAATGCCTAAAGGATGAATTGAAGGAAATGGATCAAGCGCTCCGAACAGAAACTCAGGCAGCTCAGGGGTGGACGGCCTCATGTATCCTCCACCCGCTGGTTTCCCACCCCCTCCCACCCCGGAGGCCCAGCCTCACCAGGAACACGCCGTGGGCATACAGATGGATCCCCAACTGGATTCCATTGACAATCTTCTCCCGGGCCCACTTGGGGATCCCGAAGTTGGCGATCAGGGCCATGACCGGAACTGCAAAGAACCTGAAGGGGAGGCAGTGGGTCTGTAGAGACACCATCCCTGCCTTCCACCCCACCCCATGGCCCCGAATCCCCTGCTATACACACACACACACACAGGCCCCAAGTGGGTCCCAAACTGGAGGGAAGCCAGTGTGACCCTCAGAAGCCAGAGGTTAAAAGGAGACAGGAATCCCACTGGCCTGGGAAATGTGGTGAGGGGGGTGGGCAAGCAGTAGGTTGAATTTAACTCAGTTCTACCCCCACCACAAATTCTGGCACCTGGGAGGAAATCAACAGATGTTTGATGACTGAATTAACATATGATAATAACAATTAAGGACTTATTGCATGCCAGACCTGTTACTAAGCATTTCATGAATACACACTCATATAACTCTCACAGTGACTCTATGAGGCAAGTACAATTTCTGTCCCTATTAAACAGATGAGGAAACTGAGGCAGAGAGAATTTAATTGATGTGTGTAATGTCACACAGTTTACAAGCTTTAGAAAGTGAAGTAAAACTGTTAGTCGCTCAGTCATCTCCGACACTTTGCAACCCCATGGACTGTAGCCTGCCAGGCAAGAATACTGAGAGTGGAAAGAAAAAAAAAAGAATATTGGAGTGGGTTTCCATTCCCTTCTCCGGGGGAATCTTCCCAAACCAGGGATCAAACCCAGGTCTCCTGCTGCATTGCAGGCAGATTCTTTACCATCTGAGCCACCAGGGAAGCCCCACAAGCTTTAGAACTGGGATCTAAATCCAGGTAATCTGGCTTAGAATCCGCCTACTTGGGACTTCCCTGGTGGTCCTGTGGCTAAGATTCCACACTCCCAATCCTGAGTTTGATCCCTGGTCAGGGAACTAGGTCCCACATGCTGCAATTAAGAGTTCACATGCTGCAACAATGATCCCACATGCCTAAACTAAGACCCAGTGCAACCAAATAAGTAAATAAATATTTAAAATGCATATATGAGAAAATAAGTGATTTAAAAGACTCCACCTACTTTACTGCTTTGTGTGTGTGCTAAGTTGTTTCAGTCGCGTCCGACTCCGCGACCTTCTGGACTGTGTAGCCCACTAGGCTCCTCTGTCCATGGGATTCTCCAGGCAAGAATACTGGAGTGGGTTGCCATTTCCTCCTCCAGGGGAATCTTCCCAACCCAGGGATCACACCATGTCTCTTACATCTCCTGCTCTGGCAGGCTGGTTCTTTACCACTTGCGCCACCTGAGAAGCCCATAACTTTACTGCTATGCTATATTAAATGAAAAGAATCACAACTACTTTTTGTTGGACATTTACTTTGTGCCACACTCAAAGCCCTCATCTACTGTCCTACGCACTCTCAAGACACCCATTTGCAGGAGATACTCCGGATAATCCCTCTTTCTGGGTAGGCAACCTGAGGCTTTTATATTTTTTTCACTTTGGGAAAGGAATCGTTTCCAGGTTACACAGTGAGTAAGTGGCAGACTCTGGTGACAGCTGCCTAACTTAAAGTCCATCTGCCTCCCAGAAGAGGGTCTGAGTTGAAGACAGCCATTTCTGGGGAGCCAGGGAAGGCATGGACAGGTTGGGGGCCCAGCACATCTCACCAGAGGGTGTAGGCAGCAAAGAAGGGCACGTAAAAGGGCTGCTTCTCCGGGAAGTGGCGCAAGGAGACGAGCACAGCATAGGAGAACCACACGTAGGCCGCCACCTGCAGCCCAATGAGCCCGTAGCCCGCTGGCGACTCATAGGTGTACAGGACCTGGCCCGGGTCAAAGAACTGGACCCAAGGGAGAGGGTCAGTCACAGCCCTGGCCTTTGGCCCTCCTCAAAGGGACCCCAAATCCCACCCTCAAATACCCTTAAGGGCACAGAGGTACTTGATCAGGACAGAAGCAGTAGGAGAATGTGAGATGGAGATGAAAGGATAGACGCAGAGAAAGTGAAAAGATAGAAACTATCTCTGCTACCATGGCTCAGCACAGAGCTGAACACCACCAAGTGTAAGTTTTTCTGTTTGCACCAAGTTGATGAAGCAGGTCTTATTTTCACCCCATTTTACAGAGGGGGAAAACTGAGGCTAAGCAGGAAGCCTTTCGGCTAAAGTCAAGGTGATATATAAAGCCTTAGAGAAGTTCCCTAGGGTAGGTAAGACCCTCCTCATTTTACAGAAGCAGCAGCAGATCTGGGGGTGGGGTGGGCATCAGTCAAGGTCAACCAGCTGGGAAATGGGAAAGCCAGAGTGGACTCCAGGTCTGTGTGACTCCTGAACTTAGTCATGACACTGAGCATGAAATGTGACAGACAGCGAGAGACAGAGGGAGGAAGAAGAGAGCCACGTAGAAAGACGGGAATGCACTTAGGGAGACAGATGGGAAGGCGGAAAACCACAGAGTGGGGGAGAGAGAGCCAGGAAGAAGACTAGCAGACAGGTGGAAGAGGCCACTAAAAGCTTCGGGGCATGGGGAGAATGGAGCAAAGCCTGAGCTTTGAGGGGACGCACCTCGGCCTCGTAGATGAGCAGCGCCACGTGGGTGAGTGTGTACAGGGTCATGTAGACAGACAACTTCACCGAGCCCGAGTGGCTGATGCGGCCCCTGGCGGCAGGCCATGAGGGGAGACAGCAGGGGTGGGAGCCGTCAGAGAGGAGGGGGTAGCCACCCCCTCCCCCAACCCAATCTCTGCCCTGCCCCCCTGTCCAGCCACCCCATCCCCGCTGTGCTCCCTCCCGCCCCAGCGTGGGCACCGTGTCACCGTGAATCCCTTTCCCAGAAGGATCAGCATCAGCAGGAAGATGAGGAAGCTGGAGGAGAAGAGCAGCTTGGCTGGTAGAAGGAGGAGAGGGCAGCTCAGATGCAGGGTTCGGGCTGGGGGAGGAGCCCCACACCCTCCCGGGCCCACTTTTTTCTCACCCAGGATCTTCAGACTCTCATTGCCAATGCCATCCGTGGCATACTGGCCCCAGTAGATGCAGAAAAATAGGAGGCTCAGGACTGAGGGGAGGACAGGCAGCGAGAGGAAAGGACAGACACCGGCTTTAGAGCATCACTCTTCCCCAGCACTGTGATCCAGATGACCAGAGCCCTTCGCTCATCCCCATCAGGATTTAGACTCTCTACTCCTGCTGACCTCCTGGGATACTCTGAAGTCCAGGCCCCCAGCCCCTCCTCCCTCAGACCCAGGGGTCCAACCCCCAGCCCCTCCTCCCTCAGACCCAGGGGTCCAACCCCCAGCCCCTCCTCCCTCAGACCCAGGGGTCCAACCCCCAGCCCCTCCTCCCTCAGACCCAGGAATCCAGACCCCCAGACCCTCCTCTCTGAGACCCAGGAATCCAGACCCCCAGACCCTCCTCTCTGAGACCCAGGAATCCAGACCCCCAGACCCTCCTCTCTGAGACCCAGGAATCCAGTCCCCAGCCCCTCCTCCCTCAGACCCAGGAATCCAGACCCCCAGACCCTCCTCTCTGAGACCCAGGAATCCAGTCCCCAGCCCCTCCTCCCTCAGACCCAGGGGTACAACCCCCAGCCCCTCCTCCCTCAGACCCAGGGGTACAACCCCCAGCCCCTCCTCCCTCAGACCCAGGAGTCCAGGCCCCCAGCCCCTCCTCCCTCAGACCCAGGAATCCAGTCCCCAGCTCCTCCTCCCTCAGACCTAAGAATCCAAGCCCCCAGCCCTTCCTTTCTTAGGCCTAGGTATCTGAGCCCTAAGCTCCTCCTCTCATAGAACTTAAAAGTTAAGATACTCTAAACCTCACCCTCCACTCCTGCTGCAGCCATGAACATTTTATAAGTCGTGTGTAGCAGCTGACGACCTTTCAGCAAATCTAGGAGGGGGGTAAAGGAAAGCTGTACACAGACAGGTTGGCTGTCCTCCACCCTGTCCCCCCTCCCCCATCTTCCTTCTCCCCCCTCACTCCGCCCCCACCATGGGCCAGACTCACATCCAAAGTAACAGGAGAGGAGGAAGATGAGGATGAAGATGAGGAGGAAAGTCACATCGGTCTCCAGGATCCCTGCCAATTTGGCAGAAGGAGAAAATCCTGCAGTCAGGAGGGGTCTTCCCTCAACAGGCTCCCAGTTCTAGGTTCCCACCGAGATACTGGGTCCCCACGGGCTCACCAAACTCATCAGCAGAGAAATGCCGTGTCCAGAAGGACTTGCCGTTGGTGAGGACCATCTCATACTCCAGCTGCAGCCCATCTCCCTATGGGGAGTGTGGAGGCCTAAGGAAGGGAGGCGGGCGCAGCCCTGCGCAGGGAGGGGGTTGGCAGGAAGGCAAGGAGGAGAAGGCCCCAGTCACTTACGCCACACTTGCTGAGCGCAATGTACCACCACCTTTCACGAACTGAGCGGAAGCTGCGGCCACTGGAACAGCTCAGGTAGCGAGTTCCCTCCTCTGACACCACCTGAGAAGAAATGCAAAGGCTGAAGCCTGCCTGGACCTGGACCTTCAGCACCTGCCCATTCCCCCAGGCCAGGCCCATACCTGACAGCCTGACCAGGCATACTGGGTAGTGAGGTTGATGACCTGGTTGTTCTCTGGCCTGATCACTGACTCCTTGGCCAGGCAGTCCTAGGCGAGGGCAGGGATGCGGTCACTCCTTGGCCAGCTTCAACCTTCTCCCCCCTCCCCTCCACCTTCCTCACAGACTTCACCTTGTCCCCTGCCTTGTACACGGCTGGCCACTGGGATGGGTCATCGAAATAGAGGAGGATGTTCTGACAGCACTTGGCCTGCAGACCCAGAAATGGGGGGGGGGGGGTTGGGGAGCTGAGGTAGCCCTTGCCTTGGGAGGCCAAGGGGGTGTCCAGCCTCAGCATGGTGAGTGGTTGGGGAAGGCTCACCTCAGGGTATCGGAAACGGAAGTCTAGTCGGCCGTAATCCGAGAGGAAGCAAAATCTCGTCAGGAACACCCAGTCCTGGAAAAGGGGCCCACTCAGACCTTCTTCTGAGCCCCTTGATAACTCTCCTTGATTCCATAGTCCCCCTCTCAACTTTTCCTCCCTACCCTGGAGTTCCTGGTTTCCTAAGAAGCATAAAGGGGACCAGGTCACCTCCAAAATTCTTCTGTTATCCTTTCACCTTGGTTCCAGGATTCCTGCTTTGGATGTCCCCCAAGTTTCTTCCCCTGCTTTCAAACACTTCTCCTATTTCCCAGGTGCCAGAGAAAGCCTGGAGGGCCAGATCCCCATCCTGGACATCTTTTGTCACAGACAGACATACATACATACATACAGACACACACACACACTGGACATCTTTTGTCACAGACACACAAAGACACACACACACACAGTGGTCCCAGAGCCCATCAGATGCTGGGGAGTATTCCAAACGGTCCCCTCCGGGTCCTGAGCAGGAATGTGAACTCAGGCTCTCTTGCAGTGAAAAGTGCTGTCCCTTCAGCACCACCTCGGCGTCCCCCACCCCCACCCCAAACTCTGACTCTCCCAACCCCGCCCCCCTCCTCGCCCAACTCTGACCTCAATGTCCCTCCTACAATTCCTGAGGCTCCTCTCTACCCCCGGGGCCCCCGCAGCCTCAACCCAGACCCAATCCCTCATCGCCCCTGGCCCCACGCCCCCAGGCTCTCAGGAACCTTCCGGGAGGGGCGGCACGGGGCGGGGCGGCACCTCCCCCTCCTCTCCCTCCGGTCCCTCGGGGGCCCGGCGGGTGGCAGGGGAGGGCCGGGCGCGCTCACCTCCTTGGAGCTGAGGTTGCCCCGCACGTACTTGGCCCGGGCGCGGGGGGGCAGCGGCAGCAGCAGGAGCAGCAGCGGCGGCAGCAGGCGGCGCAGAGCGGGCGCGCGCGGGGGCTCCATTTCACCCGCTCCGGCCCCGGCCCCGGCCCGGGTTCCGCTCCCGCTCCCACTCCGGCCCGGCGACGGCGGCGAGAGCGCGCGGGCCGGCTGGCGCGCGGCCCCGATTAAAGGGGCCGCTGGGCAGCGCGCTCCCTGCCTTCTCCTCCGGGATGACCCGGCCAGGCCCCTTCCCAATCGCCGTGGGAAGGGCCGCCCCCTTTCCCATCCGCACCACCCCTCTCCAGCCCCAGTACTCCCCTTGGGGTGTCTCCGTGATACCTCAGGCTCCCCGTGTCCTAAAATGAACTCCAATGCATTCCCCCAGTTCGAGCATCCTCCTCCAGGCTGCCATCTCAGGATGACCCACAACCCCCTGGCCCCAGCTCTGTTCTGACCTCCCCTCAGTTTGGCTCCCAAATTGCTCTTTGATTACCCATCCCCGCCCCCATGACAGCCATCACCAGCTGTGGCCACTCCAGATCCCATGCACCCTGTGAAGTTCCTACAGAAACACAGAGGCAGAGTGGGTAAACCACCTGTTCTGGGTCACACAACTCCAAGGTGGTAGCCTCAGCCACAACCGCTACACCCTGCTGCCTGACCCTGTTCTATCACTGCTTACCAGGGTGTGAAAATCAGTTGCCGTGAGGCAGAGGGGGTGGTGTTACAAGAAACCCACAAACAGACTCTGAAATCAATTGCTTGGGTTCAAATCCCAGCATTGCCATAACCTTCCTAAAAGACCTCAGCTGAGTCACACCTGTGTGATCTCCCAGCCAGTCCCCTACACCCTGCTACTGACTTTAGTTTCCCTGTGGGCAATAGGGAGCCCTGGAAAAGCTTTACAAAGTACAGTCCAAGCCCCTCCGCTTCATTTTCCCAATCAGATTCCAACACATGTTTAGCTTCATCCCTCCGCCTCCACTGCAGAAAATTTACTGTGCCTCAAACTATCATTTTAAAAAACTTTCCAAGTCAAGAGGCCAAGCAGGAAACATAAGCGGGTGAAATGGAGAGTGTTGACCCCACAAAAAAGGAGCCTCTGCAACTTAGCTTCAGCCCGTTTTTGACAGGAAGGAGAGTAAGTCTGATATGCCAGTTTCTCTGCTTTCCTTCTTTCCATTTTTTTTGGGTGGTTTTTTTTTTTTGAGAGAGAAGCCAGAAAATTTTTTTTTAAAAAGCAAACTGATTTGTAACAGTAGATAATTGATTCAAAAATGTTAAATATATTGTAGACCAAAAAAAAAAGTCTGTCACTATATCCAGGCTTCATCTGCCACTCCTGCCCTGATCCTGCCCACACACTGTTCTTGTGCCCACCAAACCAGAAGCCTCTCATAAGCAGAGCCCAGATCTGACTCATGCTAAGTCCCAGCATGGTCTAGGGATACAGGCTGAATGGGCCTTACACGTGCTGTTCCATAGAGGAGCATTGCTAGATTGCCTGGAATGTTCTTTTTCTCCTCTACTAGCAAATTTCTACCAAACTTGACAAATACAAGGGTCTTTTGCAAACTCCTTGTCAGCAGAGCAGTCATCCCTCCTTCCTTGGACTCCCCAGCCCCTGGACTTCTTTCTCTTTCAGATGCCACAAGCGCTGAAACTGTGTCCACCACTGTACTGGGAGTCCCCTGGAGACACAACCTCAGTCTCACTCACTCTGGAGCCCCAGCATCACCAGAGTCAAGCACAAAGTTGGCCTTAGTGGGTGGATCTGTTAGACTGACTGGAGGCCTCTGGGCCGAGGACGGTGACAAATTACAGTACCTTCTATTCCACTTTGGACCCAGAACTAAGAGCTAGGAAATGCTGCTGCCCTGGGCCAGCCACTCACTAAAATTCAAGAGGACTGTGAAGAAGACACTTTATTGAAGTGATCAGAGTTGGGAGATTCCTGCCCCCAACCAACCTCAGCCTGCTCAGTACAGTCTCATGGGTGGAAAGGACCAGGCCTCTGGGCTGCTCTGAGCCACCACCCAGGAGAGGCTGGGCAGTGGGGCTGGGGGGCTGGGGCTCCAGTCCAAGGCAGAGCTTCGGGGCAACAAGGGTGACGGTGGCTGGGGCAGGAGTTGTGGAGGGCCAACCCCCCAAGGCCGGGGAGGGGGAGGTGTGGCTACTAGCCAGATGCTTTTCAGTAGATCAAAGGCTGTTGGGGGGCCCCAGGCTGCCCCAGATGGCGAAGGCAACGAGGATAATGGGGGTGGCCAGGGACCTTTCGGTGGTGCCAAGCTCACTCGGTGCACAGCAGGAGTACTGGAGGCAGGAGGCATGGCAAAGGTGAGCTCCTGCCCTCTCCTCTGCCTCCCCTCCTCTGGGGCCTGCTCAGGACTGTTGATGCAGGAAGGTGTCATTCTTTGTTTCTTTGGGGCCCCAAGCTCAGTCCCTGGCACAGAGGAAAGAAGCATGAGGGACAGCTGAACAAGAGCAAAGGAAAAGGGAGCTTAGGAGGCAGGAGGTATGCTCACCTGGCAAGTGTGGCTGGCAGCCCCGGAGCACCAGAGTAAGGTCTGGCACACAGCCATGGCAGGCCTGTAAAGTGCCCACGATAGCATCCCTGGCCTCTTGAACTAGGTTCCTTCTAGGGAAGGCTTGTGGCAGAATCAGCTGGCATTGCAGCTCTCCCAGCAGCTGCTCCAAGTCAGGGAGTGGTGGGGGGTTGGGGGGGCCTGGGCCCGAGCCTCCAGGCACCTGGTTTTCCTTGCCCCTTGACTTCAGGGATGGTTTCTGGCCCCTGCCTGGGCTTGGGGAGGACTTGGTGGTGAGTGCAGGGGTGCCTGACTCAAGAGACCCACTGCTAAGCAGCCGGGCCACATCCAGAGATTTCACCTCATGGTTGAAGAGACCCCGGTGGTCCCGGCTCAGGCGGCCCTGGGTTATGACCACGAGCTTGGCAGCAGTAGGGGCCCCAGAATTCTGCAATACCATATGTGGATCCCGACCGGCCACAGGAGGATGCTGATAGGCCAATGGCCGCCGACTGCCCACCAGGGCCTCGTTACGCTCCCGCCTGGTCTTCCGACGGCGGACACGACCAGGCTTCTCAGGCTGCTGGAAAGGCTTGGGGGCTGGCTCCCCGGGATCCATGGTGCCCTGGAAGATAAAGACAGGGTAGTCATATGAGAAGAGATGGTTTGGGGTAAAGTTGGAGTACTATTTAGAGACTCAAAATGAGAGCAATGGGTTGGTAGAGAGCAACCGGAAAAGGTTTGGTCAGGGAAAGATGAGGGAAAAGGCAGAGTCATAGGGGCAAGATGGGGTCAAGGGAGTCACGCTGAATGGGAAGATCTGTCAGAAGATAAAGGGTGAAATGGAGAGAATGTGAGGAAATCCTTAAAAATGAGGGATGGGAAAGGGATCATGATACCGGAGGGATCTGGTGAACCAGATAGGGACTTTGGACAGAGGAGAAATCCAGGAGGAAAAGAGGTACTGGAGAATGCATAAAGTGGAGAGAGATGGTAGCAAGAGAAAGGCAGGAAAGAGAACAGAAGTTGGAGAGACAGCAAATCGGAAGGAAAGGGCAGCAGAGAAGCCATCAGGGCCCGGGGCCTGGTCCTTGAAGCCGCGTAGACCTCAAGGCTGGGTGAGGCAGGTGAGGTAGGGATGGGGGTAGAGTTGGTGAGGGTAGGGCGGAGGAAGGGCAGCTCACCTTCTCCTATCCCCAACGAACCCCGCCCCGCCCTGCCACTCCACGTGGCTGTGGGGGACAATGGCTTCTTTTCCGGTGACCCCAGCTCTCTCGATGCGCCCGCCTGGCGCTCTTCCGGGCCTCACACAAGGCCTCCGCACGCACGCAGGCACGCATGCGCGAGCCCCTCCCACGCCCTTTGGCATCCAGTTCCGGAGAGTCACAGGCCCAGAGGCACGTGCCAGCTGCCCGCGGTGCCGGTTATAGTCCCGCCCCTCCCAGCCTCACTTTCAGAAATCTCTCTCATTTGTCCTAAGCACCTTCTATCCACCTTCTATCTACCAATTGGCCTAGGTCCACTAGCCCCGCCCCCTTCCCCAATGCTGGTTGGTTTAGACATCTGTTGGCGGACTTTCTCTGTAGAGCGGCAAGGTGCGGCGAAGCCAAGGGGGAGAAGGGCCATAGCAGCCTGTATATACAGCCAGCCCCCACGCAGTCAACAGGGTTTATACCTAGGGAATCAATATAGTGTCGTCATTTGGAGCTAGGCTTCAGAGCCACACTACCTAGGTTCCTATGCCCAGACTGGCACATTTGAACTCTGTGATCTTGGGAAAGTATGCAACTGCTCAGAGCTTCAGTTTCCTAATCTGTAAAATGGAATTGATATATTCTCCTTCTTATAACTGCTGTAAGTATGAGGTGTGCCAGCATCCAATTTGAAACAGCGCTTGTTGAATGGATGCCTCTAAACTTTCCCACTACACTTATCCTCCTCAGTACCCACTCTCCCCGCAACAGCCCCCCCCCCCCGCCCCCCGCACGCTGCCCCGCGGCTTGCGGGATCTCAGTTCCCTTAACAGGGACTGAACCCCAGCCCCGGTTGTAAAAGCCTGGAGTCCTAACCACTAGTCCACCAGTGAACTGCCCCCTCAGACTCTCAAAGCGAGCTATACCAGGGTTTTCCCCATACTCTAATAAAGCTATATTGTGTATTACCTGGTAATATTGCTTGTCCAACCTTCACAATCTTACAAAGCCAAAAGCCTTAGGTACTACTTCTAAGAAATCCTTCACCCTCAGAGTCCATCTCTTTCTTCTCCCACAAAGGTCCCCTATACATTTCTTAATCACACCCTTGATCCTTCCCTCAGTTGTGTGTCTGGAGTCTGCCTCCTCCAACATGGCTAGAAGAAGGTCAGAATCAGACCCATTCATTTAATACTCACTCAGCAAGTACTTATGAACAGCCACAGACAGTATTTGGTACTCTGAGTCAGGCCCTGTTCCAGGCAAGTGGATTGAGGCAACACATAAACATAATAAAATAAAATGTATCTCCGTATCTCAGCATCAACCTTCCTAGAAGAAATGAATAACTATGAAGGTCTCATTTGGGAGTGGAGCCACAGAAACATGCTCAGGATTTTTAGGGGGTGGAACCCCGCCACCTGGTCCCCCAGAACAAGGAGATCTGGTAAGACTTGAGGTCTGAGATTAATTTGGGGCAGGAGATGGGGGGCAGCGACTTTAGGCGACCTTGGCTATGGATGTAGGTTTCAGAGCCCAGACACACCCAACTGAAGTCGGTCAGCCAAAGGTTTAGGGAGGGGAGCGGAGGCCACAGATCTGTAAGGTGAGCTGCGCGGGAGGGGCGCCGGGCTAGACTTGGCCCTTGCAGCATCTCTAATTTCCCTTATCTTTCTGCATCTTCTACTACCCTCTCTGCAGGGTCAGTGATGTCTATAATGCTAAGACATAGAGTTTAGCTATTATGTCACAAAAACTGGTGGTTTTGAACAGGGGAGGGCCATGAGCACAGAGGCTCACTAAAGTCCCGGCACTGTCTTAAAGTGTCGCCTTACAGCTGAGCCTCTAATTTTCACATTTTGCCATCCTCCTTTTCTCTCCCCTACGTCTGAAGAAAATGGGTGCGTCCCTTCCTAGCCAGGTGCGTACGAGCCACCCCCTCGAGGGAATCCAGGAATGGACTCGTCCACTCACTCCCCCACCACCACGTGAATGAGGGACACACATACACCCCTACCCCCACCCCGGCCCCTCCCTACACTTCTCGCCCTACAGCAAATGGTTTCTTCCCCCAGGACTGGCGCTAGATTTTCCCCGCCTACTCTCGGCCTTTCAGGTATTTCGCTCCTCCCCGTGACGCCGGTAGGGTGGTTTCTCCCCCCCACGATATGCTGGATGGTCTCGCCTGCCCCCCCCCCCCCCGGTTCCCGGGTGGGCCAGCCGCAGCCGCCGCGGCCCGAGTGAGCGGCCGGAGCAGGAAGCGCCGGACGAGCCCACTGCGCGGCCGCCGTGGGGGAAGCGAGGGTTCCCAATTCCATCTCCCCTCCTAAATGAAGGTTTCCGCCTCGGGAGAGGGGGCGGTGCCCGGGAATCCGTCGCGCCCTCCGCGGGAGTGCGGGCTTCGGACCGTCCATTGTTGCCTGAGGGGTAGGGGTGGGCGTGGCGGCGCCACCTCCTCCCGGAACACTCTCCCGCCGACGGCGCTCGCTTGTCCTGCAGGAGTGGAGGCGCCAAGATGAGTGGAGACGAGAACCCAGCCAGCAAGCCCACGCCGGTACAGGACGTGCAGGGCGACGGGCGCTGGATGTCCCTGGTGAGCGACCCCGCCCGCGATACTCCGAAGTCCGGGGCTGAAAACGGGGAGCGGGGGAGGCTCTTGGGAGAGCAGCTGGTTCGCGCCGCTCTCGCTAAGACGCTGGGAAACTGAGGGCAGTTCGGGTGGTGCTGCCTAAGGAAGCGTGGTGGGGCGGGCCCCGCAGCATGCATGCCATTGACACCCCTCCTTTGCGTCCCCAAAGCACCATCGGTTCGTAGCCGACAGCAAAGATAAGGAACCCGAAGTCGTCTTCATCGGTGACTCCTTGGTCCAGCTGATGCACCAGTGCGAGGTGAGGCCCGTACCTCTTCTCCTGCCCCACCCAGGCCTGTGCCCTCACTGACTCTCCTGAACCAGAGCCTGGGCCAGGCGGTGTGTGGGGTACTCAGAATACCCTCAGGTAGCACCAGAATTTCTGTATAATGTGCCACGTTCTACTGAGAAGGAAGTGTCCTGGCTTTGTGTCATATTGGGTTTGTGTATAGGGAGACTTAAAATGAGGCTTCTTGCAAGAAGATTGCCTACCATTAGGCTCTTTGTTTGCTTAAATCAGCGCACAGCCCTAATGGATTTCCACAAAGCTATAGTTTCCACAAAGTGAAGGTCAGTAGGTCTCTACTAAGGGAGCTCAATTATGCTACCTAGTCACTAAGAGATGTTAAACCATGGCTTTTCTCAAAGTGAGGCTCAACTGGAATGCTGTTGGTTTGATGCCTGGCTCAAGCAGAATGAGTTTTCGTAAAAGGAGTCTTGTTTCTATGGGGATTCATGAAAGTGAGACTATGATGGGTTTGTGTAAAGTGAGGTTTGACCATATTGGGGTTTGCTTAAGGTGAGATTTAACCAGACTGCTTTCATAAAGCAAAGCTCTAACATGACATTTGGTTAACCTTTGGATAGAGAGCGGTGGTCCATGCTGACGATGCCCCTGTGCCCACACCACTTCTTGCCCACAGATCTGGCGGGAGCTCTTTTCCCCTCTGCACGCACTTAACTTTGGCATCGGCGGTGACAGCACACAGCATGTACTGTGGCGTCTGGAGAATGGGGAGCTGGAACACATCCGGCCCAAGGTGAGCAGGGCTTGGGTGGGCAGCCAGAGCCCCCTCAGCCTGCCCCCCTCACCACTGCTCCATCCTCTCTTTCCACAGATTGTGGTGGTCTGGGTGGGTACCAACAACCACGGGCACACCGCAGAGCAGGTGACTGGGGGCATCAAGGCCATAGTGCAACTGGTGAACGAGCGGCAGCCCCAGGCGCGGGTCGTGGTGCTGGTGAGAGAGTGGGGAGGGCAGCGGGAGGAAGAATGGCTGTGGTCTGGGACCCCTTCAGGTGTAGCCACAGCTGCACGGTTCTGGGCAGTTCAGCTCAGAGCAGTGGCTTTCAGGCAAAATCTCATGTTGAAGCTTGCTGTGCCCATCAGAAGGGCTGTGGTGAAGGACATATTTGGGGGCAAATAGCCCCTTTTGCCCAAGGGACTGCTGGACACTTTGAAAGTGAAAATCGCTCAGTTGTGCCTGACTCTTTGCGACCTCATGGACTATACAGTCCGTGGAGTTCTCCAGGCCAGAATACTGGAGTGGGTAGCCTTTCCCTTCTCCAGGGGATCTTCCCAACCCAGAAATTGAACCGGGGTCTCCTGCATTGCAGGAGTATTGTTTACCAACTGAGCTGTCAAGGTGTTGAAAAACTCAAAACATTTAAATAGCCAAGAGTGGTCAGACATTGCCAAGGTGAAGCTAGTTTCCATTACTTCTAGAAGGTTCCACTTTTAGAATGAGGTGTCAGGACCATAGTTTGAAATCTGTTTCCAAAACCCCCATTTTCCCATCCCTAGTGTATTCTGGAGCTTAGGACTTCCTGATGGGGGACAGAAGTCTGGCACAGGGGAACAGGACACCCAGATGCTGGTAGGACGCCTCCTCACAACACCTTGTGCCTTCCTCAGGGCCTGCTTCCTCGGGGCCAGCACCCCAACCCACTTCGAGAGAAAAACCGACGGGTGAATGAGCTGGTACGGGCAGCACTGGCCGGCCACCCTCGGGCCCACTTCCTGGACGCAGACCCTGGTTTTGTGCACTCAGATGGCACCATCAGCCACCATGACATGTACGATTACCTGCACCTGAGCCGTCTGGGGTACACACCTGTTTGCCGGGCCTTGCACTCCTTGCTTCTGCGTCTGCTAACCCAAGACCAGGGACAGGGTGGTGCACCCCTGCCAGAACCCAGCCCCTAAGCATCTGCCTTCCTACAATATTAAATTTTCATTTTTCAGTCTCCCATTTTCTGCTTTATGGCCAAGCCCATGTGGGTATCTAAGTCCGACATCTATGACCCTGCAGCTCTGCCATCACAGTAGTGCTCCAAGCAGGCACTGCCAGTCAACCCACTAGGTGAAACTGGTTTGCTAACATGACCCTGGAGCATCAAGGTCAAGCGAGAATTCTGGGTGACCCAGCAATCAAAGCCCACCCACTGCTGCACTCCAATCTGTCTGAGCTTACCTGTGACTTCTACGAAAGCTTTCTGACCTTCCACCCCTGGCAGTCAGCCCTCTACACAGTGTATGGGTATTTATCTCCCCAGAGAAGCACTGTCCAAGGCTGTGTGATAGCCTCGGAAACCAGGAGAAGATTCCTCTGCCTGGGCTGCAGTGCTGGCTCAGGCCACACAGGGGCAGCAGGGGTCACTGGGGACAGGGCCGTGCTCTGACCCCACTGGCCTCCCCACCCAGTGCCTGCCCTGCTTCAGACCTTGAGTTCAACTGATACATTAGGGGTGAACTGCCCTCACAGCACGTCACACGCCTTCCCCAACCATGCCTGCCGAATGGCTGAGTAGGCGTGACTCTGCCCACCAGGTCCCGCTGATGTAGGGGATGGTCCTGGGATGGCAGCCGGCTCCTCACAGTGGTTAGGGGCAAAGCCTGTAACCCCATGGCCATCTGGGGGCCAGACTGGTATGACCCACATCCCTTCTCCCTTGAGAGCTGGCAGCCACACAGGTGTGTTAAACAGCTTTAATCTCATCATTGCGTCTTCTCAGCACAGTAAGAAATATTGCACATGATCAACATGTTTTGTTCTGGGGATGGGGACAAGGGTGGGGGAATCACCTTCTTAGAAAGTACAACCCAAGTTGGGAGGGCAGAGGGGGTGGGGAGAGAACCCTCCCCATGCCTGTGGCAAAGTGCAGGAGCCCCCACCCCCAAGCTAACCTGAGTCCAGCCCCTCTGGGGAAAAAAGGGGTACATGAACTCCCCCTACTCCACAGGCACCTCCCTGTGGCCCGAGGCCCATACTACCCTCCAGCTGGCAGCCCTCACACGAGCCATTTTGCATAAAGTACAAGTGAAAAGGTCTGAAGGTAACACACTCCAGGTTATGTACAGGGGCTCGGTGGAGGGAGACTGTGCCCCACTTCCCCTCAGTCGCCCCCCGCCCCCCGTCACAGGGAGGGAGCTGTGGGGGGGAGGGGGTAGACAAGGGAGCAGGCCTCATTTCGCCCCCAACTGGAAAGGACGAAATGGCTTTACTGGGGAGGAGGCAACCATCCTGCCCCCCCATTCCTGCCACCTAACATACTGTCCATGTCCTGAGGGGGGTACTGTGGGTCTGGGGTCTTCTCAGGAGCCCCTCACCTGCCTGTGGCAGCTGTGGAGGGACCAGAGGGGGGTGGTGAGGGTTGGGGGGGCCCCTCCCAGCCAGGCTGTCCAGGCCCCGGCTCTGGGGGTGGAGGCAGTGGCGGGGCAGCCGGGGCTGTGCCAGAGTCCGAGCCAGGTGAGGTGGGGTCAGGGCCCCCCGCAGGGCTGGGAGTGGGGACAGGGGCAGCAGCAGTGCCAGTGGGGGGCGGTCCGGGGAGGGGGGCCTCGGCTCCTGGGGGCTGTTCTGAGGGAGTGGCCGCCTGCATGATCTTCTGGCGCACCTCACGGATCTTCAGCTGCAGACAGACCTTGGAGGGGAAGATGTCCGCGTAGCGGGCCTGGAAGGCTGCTGTGGCCTGGGCTGTGGGCAGCAGGGGCAGGCGGGGAGGGGAAGAAGGGCAGGGTGAGATGAGTAGGTAAGCCCCCTCCAAGCCCCCCGCCCTGAGACTGCCAGCTGTGCTCACCTGACGGGAAGAAGCCATGGTCCTGGAAGAGCTGCATGACCAGGGCCCGGCGCTGGTCCAGGGTGCGCCGCAGCGATGAGTAGGGCACCTTCTCATACTCCAGCTCCCCGAGCACGTCCTCGGCTTCTGTGCCTGTGAGCAGCGCAGGGAGCCCGGTCAAGTCTCCCGCCACCGTGCGAGGGTCCACTCAGCCCTCGCTGAATCCTGTTTCACACTGGGGTTCAGAGAGGGAACCTGCCCAAGGTCATATGGCAACTTAGGGGCCTGTGAAACTCCAGAGCCAGGCTTCCCTGGTGGCTGAGCAGTAAAGAATCCAGCTGCCAACACAGGGGACATGGGTTCAAACCCTGATTGGGGAAGATCCCACATGCCCCATGTGGAGCAACTAAGCCCTCAAGCCACAACTACTGAAGCCGTTGCATCCTAGAGTCTGTCCTCTGCTGCAAGCGATGCCGCCGCTGCCACAGCCACCGCCACCGCAGTGAGAAGCGCGAGCACCTCAACTAGACAGCAGACCCCGCCCGCCACAACCAGACAAAGGCCGCGTGGCAGTGGAGACCCAGCACAGCCAACAAAACACAACACCTCCAGAACCCACCCTTGGCCTGCTGTCCTTCCTCTCAGCGACACCTGGCCCACTCTCCCACCTTTAACCCTGTTCCTGAGACCCCACCCCTCTTGGAGGCCCTGGGTCCCCCACAGCTCTGCCTGCCACCACGCCGGCACCTGTGCGTTCAAAGGTGAAGATGTCGCCCTCGCACTTGGCACTCTTGGGGGTGTTGGGCTCTGAGCTGCAGCTGGAGCGCCTCCTCATCTTGCGCTTGGGCGAGGTGGGGTCCTCGGGAGCCGAGTCCAGATCTGTTCAGATGGAAGCAGGCTCAGTGGCCATGGCCCCCATCTGTCCTCCACCCTCCCCGGGCACCTGGCGCTTGCCTACCAGTGGAATTCTTCCTCTTCTTGCGGTAGGAGCCCAGGATGGCCCGGGGCGAGGTGGCCAGAGACTGCAAGGTGGGCGAGGGCAGCACCTCCTCAGGCCGGAACTCGGGCAGCTCGGCAAAGCGCTCCTCGAAGTCCACCTCCGACAGGACCCTGCTGGAAAGCAGGCAGGGTCACTTCCTCTGCCCCTGCCTGCAGCTGCCCCCTCTCCCAGCAACCCGCACGCTCCGCCCGGCCCCCCAGCCCATGCTCACTTGTCCACAGAGTCAAAGGTCTTCTTCAGGGGCGGGGGCCGCACCTTCACCTTCTTGCCAGCACTAGCCGCCTCCTTGCGCTCAGGGGTGTCCCCAGCCGCCCTCCCACTGCCGCCCTCACTGCTGCCGCTGCTGCTACCAGGAGCTGGGGCTGGAGCCAGGGCCGGGCTGGGAGGGGTGGGGGGCTCCCCTCGGCTCTCCAGGCTCAGCCCGGGGACACGCCAGTCTGAAGACGAGCTGGGGAATTTGCTGGCCTGGGGGGTGGGTGGGGAAGGAGATGGAGAACACTGGGGTCAGACTCACCAAGGCAAGACCCAGAAACAGGGGTCACAGAAACGGATACTGACCACTGAGATGGGGCAGGACCCAGCCGTGCAGACAAGCCCAAGGAGAGCCCACAAGGGCACAGATAAGACAGGAAGAGGGCAGAGGGGCGGGACAGAAGGGGGGACAGGAGCAAAGCCAGGCAGTGCTGGCCACCCCAGGCCTGCTGGGCACTCACCATGGTCTCCGGGCCCTTGGTGCTGGTCTGCTCCTCAGCAGGTGGGGGCAGTGGGGGACTGCTCCGGGCTGTGGGAGTCCAGGTCTCGGGGGGCAGTGGAGGGGCTGGTGTTGCTGGCCGCCCCTCAAGCTCTGACTCGGATGCTGGGGGCTCACGGGCTGGGCCAGGCTCCAAGGGTTGCCGGGGTGCAGGGCCTGGCCTCCCAGGGGCACCAGCCTCGAAGGAGCCCACGGGAATGCTGGCGATGGCCGCCTTCACTTTCTGGGGAGCCTTAGGGGTGGGCCGCTGGGCCTTGGGGGCCACTAAACTGTAGGTCATGGAGCCTGCGGGTGGAGAGAATATTTGCTGAGCCAGGCTTGACAGGAACCCATGCCCTGGGTCCACCCACTCAGCCCGCCCTCACCTGGCCTGACACCCACCTGTGGCGCCAGGGAAAGGGCTGGCGGGGGCCGGGGTGGCAGCAGTGGGTGCCGGTGGGCCCTTGGGCAGGATGGGGGCAGCAGGTGGGGTGGTGCTGGTGGCCACAGTGTAGACCAGGCCTGGGGGGGCCTGGGATGGCTGGGCCAGGGGTGCTGAGGAGGTGGGTACGGGGCTGCCGGGGTAAAATGCTGTGATGACGGGACCACTGGTGGCTGCGCAGGTGGGAGGCAGCTGGGGGCTGGGCACGGGCGACACGCCCACCTGGCCAGGAGCCAGCAGTGGGGCTTGGCCTGTGGAGAGACAGACGGCAGAGGCAGGGGACCGAGTGAGGGCCTGGGCTGCCTCAGCCCCACCCATGGTCCCAGCTGCCAGCCAAGCCCACCCCTCACCTGAAAGCAGGGGCTGCACGAAGGCGGGGCCGCTGGGCCCCAGCGAGGTGAAGCCGAGGGCGACCGAGCTCGTGGGTCCATACGAGGTGACTGTTCCAGGCTGACTGGACGCAGGACTGGTGCCCAGGGGCAGCGCATGCCCACCTGCTGACTGCACGTAGGTGATCCTGCCATAGGGAGAGGAAAGGGGAAGGTGTGAGGAGAGCTGGCTCCCCCAAAACCCTCCCCTGCACTGACTCCCAGGTGCGGGTTCAACTGCCATACCGCGTGGAGGAGGGCAGCAGGACCTTCTGAGGCTGCGAGGTGGGGCCGGGGAGCGGGGCTGGGCTGAGGGGCGGCACCAGGCCGCTGGGTGCGCTCACAGGCACTGGAGTCAGCTGGATGATCTGCGGGCAAGGGAAGCACAGGTGGGGCTGAGCTGGGGCCCCAGAGCGAGGCAGGGGAGGCCTGAGACCTTGGAGGCTGGATCTCAGCAGAGACTCAGAAGGGAGACATTGGGCTGGGGCTGGGGAGTGTGAAACCAAAGGAAAGAAGACAGCGAGAGACTGGAAGCACAGAGAAGAGACAAGAGACGAACGATGAGGGCAGAATCAAGATGCTCAGAGACATCAAGCCAGGCAGTGAGACAGAAGCCCAGACACCAAAGGGAAGGAAAGGAAGAGACTGAACGACAGGCAAGCACAGAAACCATGGGACGCAGAGACCGAGGCCCAGAAGGGAGGAGCAAGGGGCAGGTGGGGCCGCACCGAGGTGCGCTCACCTTGCTGGGTGGCTGAGCGCCATTCTGCACAGGTACTGAGAAGGGCGGGCTCACCAGCGGCAGGGGCTGGCCGGCCCCTCCTCCCCGCACGGACATGCTGGGTGTGGCCAAGGGCACGAGTACCTTCCCGGGCAACAGCTGGGCTGAGCCACCTGGGGGCGGGGCCTGCACAGGAGACACGGACTGGGCTGCGAGGGGAGAGACGGGAGGGCAGGCGGTCACACGGGAGTGGAGGCAGCCGGGCCCACTCCTCGTGCTGCCCGCCCAGGCCTCACCTTTTGGGGGCGGGGCGGAGGGCACGGACTGCAGGATGGGGATGCCAGGAGTGGGTGCGGTGGCAGCCAGGACTTTGCCGTTGGTGGAGGTGCCCGGCGGGAGGGTGAAACGGATGCTGGTGGGGGGGGCAGGGCCGCCGGGTGCCGCTGCCTTGGTCCCAGGGGCCGGTGCCACTTGCAGTTGCTGGGGCAGCGTGGGCAGAATGTACTGCACCTGGGTGATGCCCCCAGCCTTGCCCAGGGGACCCGGCTGCAGGATGCCCAGGGGCATTGGCCCATTGGGGCCACTCCCAGCACCGGCCCCCGAGCCCGCAGCTGCCCCGCTGCCAGGGCCCCCCTGGGCAATAAACTGGACAGCGGGCGGCGCTGGGGCCCCGTAGCCTGGGGTGCCCACCAGCAAGTTGGTGACGGTGGCTGGCGCCTTCCCCACAGTGCCCAGGAGGGGCCCAGCCACGAGGTGTGGGGCTGTGGAGGTGGCCGCTCCTGACTTCTTGTCCGAATACACTAAGCTGACGCCCAGCGAGGAGCCCCCCGGTGCCCGGGACCCAGTGACCGCCTCAGTCCTGGCGCCAGCTGTGTCACCAGGAGACGCTTCAGCCCGGCTGGGAGCGGGGAAAGGCTTGGAGGCAATGGGCACAGGAGTGCTGCTGACGGGCCGCACCACGTTGGTGACCATGGTGGCGGCCGGGCGGGACAGGGGGGTTGCCGGGGCCCCGTAGGCCAGCGAGGGCGCCGGGGCTGAGGGCACGCGTGCGCCGCTGCCCTCCCGCTCCTCCTTGTTTGAGGGCAGGACCAGTGTCTGCAGGACGCCTCCTCCCCCGCTGGGAGGCGCCGCGATGACTGAGGGGCCCGGTGGCTCCAGGCCGCCCACGCTTTCAGGTCTCTTGCGACGGAAGGTGGCAGGATCCGTGGGGAGAAACCGG